TGGAAAATATGTTTAGGATTGTGGACCACTAGAATGTCTGCATACTCCCTGACAGCCAGAAAAATTCTTTGCTTTTTCTCTGTTGTGTGGCAGTAGAAAGTGGTATTTGTATGTCTCCCCACCACCTCCGGGTCAGATGAAGCATCAATGTTACTTTCTTAAACTTTTCAGTAAAATGGCCTGAGTCCTCTGAAAGTTGACAGAAGTTTTCTCTACTGAAATTTAAGCCTGGCACAAAAAAGAAACACGTTCTCTTTTTTCGGTTTGGTTTTGTTTTTGTACTGGGGGCTTGCATACTGAGCCACATCCCTAGCATTTGAAAAAAATGTTTCTTGAAACAGGGTCTCATTAAATGGCTGAGTTGCTCAGGCAGGGATTGAACTTGCAACCTTCCCGCCCTGGACAGGGGTCCCACACCCCGAGCACAGTGGCTCCGTCTCCCCCTGCCACTTCCCTCAGAGGTGGCAAGAGGGCCAGAACTTGACAGGAGGCTCTGCTCCAGGTGCTGCCAGGGCTTGGTCAGCTGGAGAGGAGGCCGCAGAGCCAGAAGGGGCAAGTGGGTGCCATCTGAGGCAAGGCTTGGCCTCTGGAGCAGAAGTGGGTTTTGGCGTTGCACTTACAGTCTCATCGGTCTCTGGGGGCACCTCTCAGACGGGTGACAGAGAGCCAGACAGACAGGGCAGATGTGGGGCTCTGGTCATCTGAGAGCTCAGAGAAGTTCAAGGGGAAAACAGGCTCTGCACAGCTGCTGTCAGGTCTCGGGGTGCTCACTGTGTCATCTGGGTCGGCTGTCATCTTTGTTTCTTCTGGGGGAAACATGCAAATTCAGCAAGTCTTTCTTAATAAAAGGCCGTAAACATTTGTACACAGGGAATTTCACCCCGTTTACTTTCTTTTCTGCAAAACAAGTCTAACTGAAGGATCTTATTGTATTTCAGGGACCCATTTAGAGGCCAGATTTCTCCTTCTCCAAGCTTGTAGGGGGCCAGGCCACATTACAGAAGTTTAACTTCTTAAATTTTCCTCCTTAATTAAACTTATCCCAATACTGTATAATGCACTCTAACGAGGAGACACTTGAGGTATTCTTTGTAGCTCCTGTCCTTGGTGTGAATTAGGTCTGGCCCCGGTAGACCTGGCTACTGCCCAGTTCTTGGTTCTGACTCATTAAAAGTGACTCTGTGATATGATATATTACAGTAGTGACTGGGCGCTCCATCCAGAACATGGTGATTCTCAGGCTGGAAAGCAGGGAGGAGATGAGATCCAGGAGGTGAGCTCGCTCCTGTGAGCCATGCTCCTTTGCAAAGCCTGTAGCAAGTCAGACGTTTAATTAAACAACCTAGCCTGTGGAAGGGGGGACTAGAAAGAGTTCCTCCACCTCTAAAAGACCACAGTAACATCAATGGGAGGGGCAAACGCTATCAGAGAAATGAAAGAGATGAAAGAATAAAGCAGGTTTAAGACACAAAGTTAAGATATAAAGGGAAAACAAACCTTTGCACCAAGCAGCATTAACTTCTAGCAATGCCAATAAGCCAGGTTTTTTGAATCAATTTATTCAAATAATCCAGCAAATCTTTTTTAAATACTAAATTTCTATAGACCCTTGTAAAGTTTGGCCTCTCTTCGATCATGGCAACAAGAGCTAGTATAGATTAACTGGAAAATTTTGGTGGACTCATGATCCATTGCTTTTCTTGGAATGGTGGTAGAATGAGGGAGAAATTTGGAGAAAAGAGAGTTAAATAAGGATATATTTAAAATTGGAGATGAATGCTAGGCGTGATGGTGCATGCCTATAATCCCAGCACTCAGGAGGTTGAAGCAGGAGGATTGCTGTGAGTTTGAGGCCAGCCTGGACTACATACAGTGAGTTCAAGGCCAGCTTGAGCTACATAATGAGACCTTGTCTCAAACAAACAAACAATTCGCAATGAAGATGCCTTTTACAAACACAGCAAATCTGGACTTTACAAATGACACACAACTGAGGCGATGAACTATAAACCCAAGAAACTGTGAGCCACAAAGAACCGTAAAAAAAAAAATTGGTATTCCAATTCCAGGATGCTCAGGAACAGAGCCAAAGTATTCCCAAAAACTACAGGAGAGTTACCAGCCCTCAAAGCACTCAACCAGATTTCCCTTGTCCAATAGGGAAAATCACCTAGACAACTGGGATCTTCCTGGGATTCTCAGATGCCAAGAGGAATCATGGGTAATGGAAGAAAATGGATTGGGAAGCCTGTGGGGCTCATTACTCCCTAGGAAATGGGATCATATACAGCAATTGACCTGTAAAAGGCTCTTTTCTAAAAATCCCAGGTGGGCCCCATGCTGGGAGCAATGCTACATAATTCTAGGGAAAAATCATTTGGTTAGCCTAGTTCTCTTGCCTACAGCCCAGCTACAGAATAACTCCAGTTTGGCCTCCGGTCACAACTGAGACTTCAGTGATCCAGTGATGCTGTGATTCTCCAGGACAAGAAACATCCTGGGAGAACAAACATCTGCTCAGTTCCTCATTGTTCTTGGACTGTTAACATCTTATTTACCCAAGATGTACTGAACTCTCTGCAAGCCTTTTGTTACACCTTGTTTATCCCAATGTGAACTGCTGAACTCTCTGCAAGTCATTTGTTACATTTGTTTCTCCCGATGTACTGAACTCTCTGCAAGTCATATGTTACGTTTGTTTCTCCCCATGTACTGAATAAAAGGTGCAGTAAGCTGGGGGCTTTTGTCTTTGCTGCCCAGAGCAGCACTGATCAGACCCAAAGCTCAGCTTCTTCTCAGTGTCATTTTTTTACCTTTCTTGTAATTCGCCGTGTGCTGCCGTGGCTCGCAGGAGACCAGGACTCACTGCAGAGGTTCTGGTAACGTCCCCTTCCCCTGTTCCCTACAGCCCCACAGGGGGTGTCAAAAAGTCTGTCACTGGCTTTATGAGTTCTTTGACTCATGAGAGATGAAAATCAAACATGACCAGTGAGAATTAGCAAAGAAAGAGTTTATTACAATCACACAGGACACAGCAGCATCCTTTCCCATACAGCAGCCCCGTGGCCAGGGTACAGTGAGATTATATATATTTTCTGTAGAAATACTAACATATTTTTGATCAGCTCTCTGGGGCAGCTGAGCCTCGTACAGGCTCAGAACGCTCCTGTTTTATTTTCTATTTTAAGCAAAGAATGAGGCAAGAGACACAGGCTTGATACCTTTCTAATTACACCTACGATAATGGAGTGGGAGGTGGAGGACAGTAAGGCTTGCAACTTTGCTCATTGTACCTCACACAGTGAAATGGCTGAGTTGGTGTCAGTCGTCTGCCTCCAGAGGGATGTTTTCTTCCCTGATGACCACTTGTCACACCTCTGTCACCAGCTGTCACAGCTGCCTTTTTCCTGCCTCAGTGCCCGCAAAGCCAGATGTTCATGCTCTATGTCTCAATGAGACACCATTCAAAACTGCCATCCACGAGAACGCCACTTCTCGGAAGATGTACAAATGGCCAATAAATACACGAAAAAGTTCTCACCATCACTGGCCATCAGAGAAATGAATGTCATCTTACTTCAGAAAGAACGGCTACCATAAAAAAATCTAATAATAACAAATGCTGGCGAGGATGAGAGGAAAAAAGGAGCTCTCTGTATTGTTGGTGGGAATGTCAACTAGCACAACTAGTATGGAAATCAGTGCAGAGTCCTCAAAAAGCTAAAAGTAGAAATTTCACTTGATCAAGCTGTTCCCCTCCTAGGAATCTTCCCAAGAGAGTTAAAATCATCATATTATGGTGACGCATGCACACTCATGTTCATAGCAGCACAACTGATAACAGCTACATCTTGGAAACAGTGGATATGTCTATTGACAGATGAATGGATATTGAAAATATGGTATTTATACACAATGGAGTATTACATTGCCATACAGAAAAATAAACTTGAGGTATTCATAACTAAATGGATGCAACTTGAGAACATGATGTTAAGTGAAATAAGTCAGACACAGAAGCTCAAATATTGCATGGTTTCCCTTATACTGTGTAAGAAACCATAGAGAGAGAAGACAAATAGGAAGTAAAGAGAAGTTCAAATACTTTCCCAGATTATTGTTGTTTAAAAAGTATTTCAATATACTGTACGTGTTAATTTCCTTTATACTAATAGTTTATCTTAGTTTGTTGAAGTTTTTTGTTATTACCTGGTTTTTTGTTAGAATTCTTTTTATGTCTTGTACTGAGTAACGACTTTGGAGATAACAATACACAGTGTAATAACTATTGTTATTCTATTATTTGATTATGTAAATTTGTTTTATTTTTTAATTTAAAAAAAGCGAGTGCCTGGAGTAGGTGAGCCCCCCCATGGGCGTGGCTGGGCATCAGGGAGGGGCGTGGCGCTGGAAAGGGATGTGGCCAGGTAGAGGCGGGCCTGGGGTGGGGGCGGAACCAAGTTCGTGAGGTGCAAGCGCGGGGGGGGGGGTATGGCCGGAAGGGGCGTGGCCCAACAGAAGAGAGACTGAGCTTCGGGCCGGCCGGCCAGCTGGCAGCAGGTAGATAGATCGGGAGGCGGACAGGTCGAGAGGCCAACAGAGAGCGTGGCGGGGCAGAGGCCAGGCTCAGAAGAGGGCACGGGGTCGGCCGCTGTAGGACAGGGCGTGCCCAGGCATCGGTTCGCAGGGACAGGGACAGGGCCGCGCCCGACGCACGCCCTGCACACATCCGCGGCTGCCTCCTACGGGTGCCGGGCAGCGGCCGCCGGGAGGTGGGGCGGGCGGTTGGGCAAGGGGCGGGGCCGGAGCGGGTGCCGACACAGGGGTGGGGTTACCGTTGCGAGGCGGGGCGGCGCAAGCGCGCTTCGGGGCCGAAGCGGTTTCCCTTCCCCGACGACGAGCCCGCGGCGGCCGCCCCCCGAGTCCCAGCAGGGCCTGTGTGGCGGCGCAGCCCGCGTCCGCGTTGCCGCCCCCGCGCCCCGCCGTTGGGCCGCGCCGGCATGTCAGGCCCCGGGCCGCGGGAGCCGTCGCCTGAGGCGGGCGCGGCGGGCGCGGCGGGCGGCGACGTGGGCCCCGAGGACGCGGGCGGCGGGGACGCGGCGCTGGGCGAGTCGGGGCTGAGCTTCACGACCACCGACCTGAGCCTGGTGGAGATGACGGAGGTGGAGTACACGCAGCTGCAGCACATCCTCTACTCGCACATGGAGGCGGCCGACGGCGAGCTCGAGGCGCGCCTCGGCTCTGCGCTGCTGGGCGGCCCAGGCGCAGGCGCGGCAGGCGCGCAGTCCTCCGCGCCGCCTGGGTACCCGGTGCTGTGCCCGCCACTGGCGGCCGACGCCCCCTGCCTGGGTCACGTTGACTTGCAGGAGCTGCGCATGATGCTGCTCGGCGAGGCGGGCGCGGCCGAGAAGATGCCAGGCGGCTTGGACGGGGGGCGGGCGCGGGCTCGGACGGAGGGCGGCGCGGCCAAGGAGGGCGCGGGCGCCGCGGGGCCCGAGGGCGCGCCCGAGGCCCGGGCCAAGCCCGCCGTGCGCGTCCGCCTGGAGGACCGCTTCAGCAGCATCCCGGCCGAGCCCCCCGAGCCCGGCGTGGCGCTCAACAAGTGCGTGTGCGGGGGAAGAGGGCCGGGCCGGCTTTCGCCGGGGTCTGGGTGGGGACCGGTGGGCTTGTCGGGGTGAGGCAGGCGGGTCGCCCACGGGTGTACGTGGACCAAGGGGCAGCCGGCCAGCTGGGGGGTCTGGAGGTGGGGAAGCAGCCCAACGCCTGTCAGGCCTGCGCTAGGACGAGGGCAGGATGCTCCGGTCATATCCAGGGCTGGGTAGCAACAGGTGGGTGTCGGCGGGGGCTGGCTGGAGTGGAGGGCAGCCTGGGTCCCAGGATAAACACAGGGACCTAGAATGAGTCACCAGCGTACTCTGACTTGCGTCTCCTCAGGCAGCAGACTCCCAGGTCCAGGGTGACCTGAAAAGTGTGCTCTATGCACCTGCAGAGTCCCCAGCCCCAGGTGGCACCTTTGGGAGTGTAAGGCTCCATCTGGCTCTGCGCTCAAAAGGAAGAGGAAGAATTGGGACAAGTGCACAGATGGCCCTGAGGATACTTGGCTCCTGTTACCCTCCTAAGTGCCACAGAAAGCTTCTCTGCCTTCCCGAGGGCTGACTTAGGGTAGAGTGCGGGACAGTTTGGGCCTGGGGAGGGAAGATCAGGAGTCCTCGGGGATTTGGAGCCGTAAGACAAAGCTACAGCCTGCAGCAGCTTGTGGCTCACTTGGTGACTTACAGGGGTGGCTGTGGAGGGGGCTGATGCCCTGCTTTTCCATTCATTCTCCAGCTGTGGCTGCCCTGCTGCCCATCCTCACTAGGGTTTGGAGGATGCCAAAAAGAGGAGTCAAGGTGTGCTGCGGGTCGGGAGGAGGCACAGGCTCACTTCCTCCGGGAGGAAGAAGAGTAGGTTTCCCTGGCAACACTGGTGGGTAGTTGTACAGCCATCTTCTGGATGAGGGTGCATGCTCACAGAACTCCTGTCCAGAGTAAGGCGGTGATGGCAAACCTTTTAGAGCTTTCAGGGAAGCCTGCTGCAGCATGCGTTCTGTGGGTTCACCACCACTGGTTTGAAGTGACCTGTCAGGGGAGTAGTAAGTGATAGCATTGTTTCCAGAACCTTTCTGCCACTTACTCCTTTCAGTTTGCTGGATTTTCTTTTGTCTTGGCAGTTTGGTAACTCTTATTCGACATCCATCTGAATTAATGAATGTTCCTCTTCATCAACAACAAAACAAATGTACAACATTAGTGAAAAATAAAACTACTGCTGCGACCCCTGCTTTGCAGTTCACCTACCCACTGTTCACAAGTTCGTGCTCTACTGGTGGAAATTCTAGCCTTTCACAGACACAGGTGGGAAGCTGACTTGTGAAGTTTGCGCTTCTGTACTAAGTGGATAGATTTTAATATATGTAGGCCCCAAGGATTTTTTTTTTTCACAGAGCTTGTAATAACCTTTAAAACTGAGAGAATATTTATATGGTTTAGGGCTATATTAAAATTCCTCAATAAAATGTTATCAATAGCTTTGAGGTTACTTCTGTCAGGTGCATTTTATTTGTGCAGGAAATGGCAGATTAAGCCACATACAGATAAAATTCCCATTGCTTCATTTTTTCTAGAGTTCTAGTAATTCATCTAATGTACTTGAAGCTGCCAAGCACCAGGACATCGGACTGCCAAGAGCATTTTCTTTCTGTTACCAACAGGAGATTGAATCTACTAAACAGACTTTAGGTAGCCGAAACAAAACTTTGCCTGAGCAGGTTTGGATTAAAGTGGGAGGTAAGCCAAAAAGTAGTGGGTGGTGGGCAGGTTTCCTGCCTGAGTCTTGGCACAGGCCTTTTGAGCCATGGGGAGCAGGGAGGTAGGTGACTTGGACACACCAGACAGTCTTTTTGTGTCTCAGGGATCCTTACACCCTCTCCCCATCTCACTTTGAACATTCTTCTGAATTTTAAACATCATAATCCATCTTAATGTGGAAGCATTGGCTTTGAGGGGTTTTTTAAAGCAGTAAAATGACAGATTCACATAAATTTCAGTTGTCTTTATTACTGAAAGCACTTTATAATTTATTTTTGTTTTATACTCTGAGTGACGTAGGATTTGAAACCTGCTGAAAGGCATAGGAGAAATGCATAATAGAAAGACACTATAGGTGGTCAGGAACTAGATGGAGAGCCAGAGGCCATAAAATGATCAGAAAGTTTGGGAAATAAAAGGGCTACTGATGGCAAACATTGCCAGCCTTGAAAATTAACTGTCAGTCCCTTCCTCTCTGGAAAAAATGTTTTTCAAGTTACACGGTAAACTAACACTGTTACACTAAGCTTTTGACAAGTTGATGGGATAGGATGGAGATGAAGAGCTGTTGCTTTCTCCCCCTTCAGCCATTTCTTTTTCTAGTTGGGACATTGTATAAAAAAAAAAAAAAAAAAAGATTTGTAAAGAATAAAGATGACCACTGAAATGGTCCCTGTGCTAACTACTGAGGTTAAGGAAAAGAATACTACCAAAGCCTTTAAAGTCCTTTCTCTGTCCCCATTTAAATGTTTTCACCTTTCTGAAATTTGTATGAATGATCCCTGAGCTTTATATGGCATATGGGATTGTATATCTAACACATACTAGTTAGATGCTATTCTTGTTTGCTGGGAATTTGTCATATTTCTATAGCATGTGCACACAGCATGTGGCATAAAAGTCACAATGCTATTCATCACTGCCTTTGGGGGGAGAATCACTTCCAGGTGAGGACATACTTAAGCCACTTAAATTTTGTCTTCTGAGTGCTGCAGTAAAATTGTAGTTGTCATATTAGAGTAATTAATATAATGAAAAATCTTTTTTTTTTTTTTTTTTTTTGGTACCGGGGATCGAACTCGGGTCCTTGCGCTTGCACAGCAGGCGGCGAAACCACTGAGCTAAATCCCCGGCCCAGATCTCTTTTTTTTTTAAGAAGATATTTTCCATTCTGAATTTCAGAAAAAGGGAGAAAGTTCTTGGCCTTTTCACTTATAGATAACACCTGTTGATTAAAAAGGCACACTTTTCTGTGTGATGCCGGGGAATTGAACCCAAGGCTTCCTACTGAGATACATCTCCAGCCTCTTCTTTTATTTTGAGGCAGGGTCTCACTCAGTTGCCCAGGCTGAACTCAAACATTTGAACCTCCCGCCTCCGCCTGTCAGAGAAAATCTGGATTGGTTGCATAACACTTGGAAGGAGTGTTTGTAGTTCAATCATAGATTTGTGCTTAGATTTTCAGTATGAATTGAGTGTGGAGCTCGGTGCTGCTGCACATGGAGTCCCTGCCGCCACAGCTTGTGGTTCAGTTCTCTGCTGCAAACCCAGTAGTGTTTCTATATTTTAAAGGCCCCAAATATATTCTACCTTAACGGGGGCAAGGTAAGAAGGATAAAAAATTGAAATCCCATTTTTTCCTTCTTTTGCAAAGAAGAAGCGCTATGTAAGCAAGCAATAAATAAGAGGAATCGGAGTAGAATACGTCAGTTGGACACAAGTATAGAACGAAGAGCCCTTGGAGAGATTCAGAATGTGGGCGAAGGCTCTACAGCCACACAGGGCACCTGGCAGTCCTCGGAGTCCTCACAGTCAAACCTGGGGGACCAGACCCAGAGCGGGCACCAGGGAGGAAGGTCTCAGCGTAGGGAGAGGCATAACCGAATGGAAAGAGATAGAAGGTAATGTGGCAATTGTCAGGTCACTTTGTACAGTTATCCTAGGTAGGCAGGTACATTGCAGATAAACAGCACTTAGCTCCTTTGCGCCGAGGGTGGGGAGGAGGCAAGAGTAACACTAACTTTGGTTTGCTTAATGGAGCAGGTGTCCCCAAGACTCCCAGATTCAGTTATTCTCTGGAGGACTTAGTACAAAGAATATGAGGCAAAATCAGAAAAGCCACATGGGGAGAAGCCCAGGGGAGATTGGACACAAGGTTCAAGGCATCCTTTCTCCGTTGGGTGTCTGGGATGCCCTGATCCCCCATTGGTGTGTTCTGATAATGTAGTGAGGTGTCACTGAGCAGGAGAACTCATCCGAGACTGACTTTGAGACAGCCACTTAAGTACTCGAGCCTTGCACACAGCTGAGAGAGCAGGTATTTGAGGGAACCCCTGCTGTTGTCAGAGTTCTGGCCCTGCAGGCCACTCTTTAATCTTTCCAAGTCTCCTCAGACACTGGAAGGCCAGCCTTCTCAGCAGAGCCAGCAGGCCAGTGGGCTAGCTGTGTGGCAGACAACCTAGTTCTGCATTTTGTTTGGTTCTTTCAAGAATGTTGGGGAAGAAGGAGGTGAAAACCAAAATGGTCTTTTCTATGGATCTTATTCATGCTCTTCTATATAAACCCAAAAGAAGTCATTTATTATGATTACTGTGGACCAGTTTCTGTTTTAGGCTTAGGAAATAAATAGCACTGAGACATATTCAACTTTGAAGCTCCAGGATTAAATGTTAAGCCAAGGCAATTTACTGCCTTTTTTTTTTTTTTTTTTGGTTTTTTAAGATATGGTCTCACTTTACAGCTGACTTGTACTCACAATGTAGCCCATCCTCCTGCCTCAGATGCCCAAGTACTGAGATTACAGGCGTGTGCCACCTTGCCTGACATGCCTTTTAAAAGATGTATTAAAGCCAGCTATAGCCACTGGTGGGGCATGCCTGTAATCCCAGCAATTGGGAGGCTGAGACAGGAGGATCATTGTGAGTTCAAGGCCGTCCTGAACTACAGAGTGAGATCCTGTCTCAAAAAAACAAAAAACAAAAGTAGCTAGCTAAATACTTTTCTTATATATGTCATGCTTTGACTGAGGAACTTCCCTGAATACAGCTATGAATTATAATGGGCATGCTGCCTACCCTGACATTTATTTAACCAACATTTATCAGATAACCTGTGAAAGGCCTCACATGGCATGTTGACAGCTTGAAAGCGAATTCTCACTATCACTGGCTGAGTTCAACAGCCTTCTGAAAATTCTTTACCCCTCCATTCAGTTCCTCATGGATGAGATATCAGAATAAAATGAGCTGATTGATATTTAAAATGTTAAGCCCCAGACCCAGCAGTCAGGGAGTTGTTTTCCTCTTACAAAGTTTCTGTCACAGTTCTAGGTATACAGGTGTGAAGACACGAAGCTAGGGTACACTGTAAGTGCTGAAAGTCAGCTTAGGTCAGACTTTCCCTATTACTGGATGTAAGATGTGAAGGGTAAAAAAAGTTCAGTGATAAGTTGTGCTTTGAATTCTCTAAAAAGGCTAAGTTTCTGGGTGTGAAGAGAGAGGGAATCTGATAGCTTTGGAATCAGGGCCTCTTGGAGAATCTGAAAACTGTGTCTGAGTCCCTGCCACAACATTTGGCCCATGGAGAACAGATTATAACATTCTCAGCAGAAAGAACAGTCTACCCAGAAAAGGCACGGAGTTTTACCTGCAGTCTCAGAAGGTAGCGCCGTCCCAGGCGTAGCAATGTGAGCCTGGCCCCTGAGAAGTAAGGGGAACTGCTGGGACTGGGCCCATCTGCGCCACAAGTGTTCTGGGGACGGCAGTGCAGGGCAGGACACTGCCTGGCTCACCTGAGGCTCCAAGGTCGTGGCACAGCCTGAGTACTCAGACTACCGCATTGGAGTCAGACCCCTTTGAGCAAGACAGTGAACTTGGTGCTGCTCGTCTCCTTCACCATGCTCTGTGTGATTAACCTGGATTTTGACTGCAGGCGCAGAATCCGCATTTGCTGTGATGAGCTGAATCTTTTAGTTCCCTTCTGCAATGTGGAGACAGATAAGGCAACAACCCTTCAGTGGACCACAGCGTTCCTGAAGTACATCCAGGAAAGACATGGGGATTCTCTTAAAAAGGTTAGTATTTAAGTAGCCCTTGTAGCTATTTAGAGTCTTATTTTACTTACGAGTGTTCCAGTTTATCCTTTCTTCCCCAGGATAATTGAAATTGCCCTTTATTTCCTTTGTTAAATAATAAGTGCAATGTGAACAAAGCTCTACTCAATAGAAATGTAACTTGTATCGCTTCTCGGCCTTTTGGCTAACATCAAGTGTAGAAATGTAACTTATCATTTACTAAAGTGAAAATGGCAGTCCAGATTTATTCGTGAAACTATGTAACATAAATGACTTGAAGTGTCAATTGCTCTGTAATGTGTTGCACACCGACTGTATATAGTGTATTGCACTGGGGTCCAAAGAGTGTGCAGGGTGTGATTTTTGTCCTCCAAAGGCAAACAAGTTACATTCCTGTGGCTAGGGATGAGCTGGAGCTTCAATACCTGTGCACTTTGGCTCCCTGGGGTTGGGGGCCACTGTGACTCATCTGTCCTATGTGTCCTACTTTGGTTCTGCCAGCACTGGATGCTGGTTCAGGTGAGAGTCGGTGGCCCCAGAGGGTGCAGAGGAAGAGAGCGGCAGTCGTGGGTTGCTTGTGGCTCTGCCTCGGGAACCATGGTGCTGGATACTAGGGTCAGAATTCTGGTGGTCAGGGCCTGTGGCTCTGTGTCCTGCCCGCTGTGATTAGGCCTCAGTGAAACAAATAAGCCCACAGGGTCCTGATTTTGTATCTTGCCCAAGCTTTTGGGCACTTGCTGCTGTTGACCCCAGCAGGAGTCTGTCTGCTTGGAGAGTGGGCTAAGACAGATGCAGCAATCTAGAGCCTTTCTAGGAAGGACACCCGTGAGGTGAGAAGCCCTCCCACAGCCAGGCTGCGCCAGCGGGGCCACCTTTCTGCAGGACACTCCTTGCAGTAGGAGTGTCCTGACCTGTTCCCTCCTCTGTGTCTGCATGACAGTTATATCTTATGAATTGCAGGATTGCTTAAGTTTTTACTTTCATTATATGTTTCATTGCATTTTAAAGCAATACTATGTTTTATCCTAATTGAGCCATTTACAGTTACTTATATGTAGTTGGTCTTTAACATTTGTTAGTGGTAGACTGCTGGCTTGTTTTAATAAAGTAAAGCTTTAATATTTTAAAATGACTTAATGTTTGGCTCTGTGTACCTGTTCACAGTAAATCATTACTGATGAAATTCTGTCATAATGCAATAAAGATATTTATAACCTTTTAAATAAGCTATGTATTAACTAGATTAAAAACTTATGGATATTATGGGTTTTTTTGTAGGAGTGGTTTTTAAAATTTTGAATATTATGTTTTGCATATTATGTTTTCTGAATATTTCTGAAGTATAGTTGCATTGCATTTGTAGATTATTTCTGGGTCAGATGATTAGACCCAGCAGAATAGGCAGAGTAAAGTCACTTAGCTGTCTGGGGAACTGGAACATCACTAAGCTGAATATGTGTTCTTGGTAATTTCCATAGTAATTTCCCCCTTACTTGCATGCATATTTTTGTTCTTAAAGATGCAATAATGAAAGTTTTCAGTGGTTTTCTGTTTATCTTAGTGTGCATTTTACTCAACAAACCTTTCTTAGTATAACAAGGCATCTGCTGCAGACCTGGAAGGAGCCAGCGACCGTGAACAGTGAAGGAGATGTCGAGTCCTGCTGCTGGGTGGAAACGCTGCAGTGGGTCAATGCAGTGACAGTGGGCTTCTGAGCCCAAGTGCTGAGAAGGAGCCTGCATCGCAGAGCTCGGAAAGCTGCAGTTCCACGGGGCTTTGGGCAGGGGCGCCACACACCATGACTAGGAGAGCTCTGCCTGCAGTGGTATTGCTGGGGTTGGAGCCCGAGGTAGGCAGGCCAAGGTGTGGTGGGCCTGGGTCTCTCGCTGAGAGGCCCTGGAAGGTTTCAGGGCAGGGAGGGATGTGACTGGACTCACATTTTATAGCCATCACTTACCACTGTGGTGGCCTGCAGCAGTAGCTCTAGAGAGACGCCCTGGCTGGGGTCGGCAGAGGAATAGCTCCCGTTGTATTTGTGGTGCCAGATACGAAGCTTAGTGGCCTGGTCCTTGACCAGCAGGTGGATAGGGAGCGACAGGATGGGGGTATGCTCAGTGTGCCGGGCTGGAAGTGCCGAGCTTTCAGAGCTGCGGAGTTGTTGAGAAGGTGTCATTAAAGGAGTGTGCAGCTCAGACAGATGACTGACGTCGCGTTCATGTTCAGGTGAGCACACGTGGTACAGGAGCACCCGTACGCCCATCGCCGGATCTCAGCTGTCAACAATTACATGTTCGCTTCACACACATATAAGAGGCAATCGCAGACCTGTCTTCATGTTGGCCTCTGACCGCATCCTGCAAGACCTCCACCTGGATGGCCCCAGTGCCATGGTCAGCCCCGCGAGGGTGGTGGCAGCTATCTTCTTTCCTCGGTTGCTCCCTCAGTAGTCACATTTTCCCAAATTGTTCCAAAAGTGATCTTTGCAGCAGTTTTTTTCCAGTGCACCATTCAGCCAGGGATTGTGTGTTACATTTGATTCTGGTTTTCAGTCTTTACATGGCATTGGGTCAGTAGTTATGGAAATTATTATTATTATTATTATTTTTTTTTTTTGGTACCGGGGATCAAACTCGGGTCCTTGTGCTTGTGCAGCAGGCAGCGAAACCGCTGAGCTAAATCCCCTGCCCCGGAAATTTTTAATTATGGTATCACTTCAGGCTTACAGGAAAATCACAAAAACTGTACACAGAGCCTCTTGTGTACTAGCCCAGAGTTGCCGTGTCCCCATTTTCTCTGTCTTTGCCAGTCTCTCTGTATAAGTTTCCAAGTGATTTGCTAGTGAGCCACTGACATATGCTGTTTAGACCCAGCTACTTCAGTAGTTAACTTGGAAGAGTAAGCACATCGTGGTACACAACCAGCACGGTGGTCAGAGGACAATGGCACTGCATCATGCTTAGTTCTTTGCAGTTAACACTTAGGTTTTGCTGGTTGTCCCAGTGCTATCCTCCGTAGCTTTTCCACAGCCAGGGTCCAGTCCAGAGCCATAGGTGACATTTAATTGTGTTGCAACTCTGTTCTAGATTTGTGGCTGTGAACCTCAGTGAGGTGCTTGAAGCCCCTTTGCCACCCTCTGCTGCCTCTCCTCCCTTCTTCGGGTCCCATCACAGTGAGGACCGACTGACTGGGTGCTCTGCAGCTGTTTCCCTTCTCTGGTTTCCCTGTGGCGGCCATGTGCTTTGCCTCCCCTTGTTGCTGAGGATGTGGCCTTGTGCTCTGTCTGAAGTCAGGCCCACGCTTGGTTTCTCCCTTTTGCTGTCTCAGAGATCACTCCTTTCCTTCTCCCATTTTCCTGCAAATGGCTGCTGTCTCTCCTGTTCTCTTGTGTGAACTTTGGCTCCCAGGTCTCCTGCCTGCACCCGCCCCTTTCTTTGCCCTCCTTAGCTCCAGCTTAGCGCCATCTGTCCACTCCTCTCCTCCATCCCCTACTCCAGGTGGCCTGTGGAGATGGGTCCTGTGCTGGCCCCATGGACACCCGTTTGTTTTTTGTACCAGCTTTCAGGTACAAATCAGCCCTCCCTGATCTCTTCCCCGACCTGTGGCCTGCCTTCTCTCCCCAGCTTCTCAGTGACAGGGTGCACCCAGCGTGGTCCATGATTCTAGAGCTGAGTGGCTGAGGAAGCTGGAGAGTTCCCATCAGTGTGCAACACTTAGTGGTCCTGAAGTTAGTGGCTTGCCTCTCCTGCTGTGCACCACCAACCTGAGGCCCAGAGTTCCCCCACTCCCTTTGTTGCTCCGGGGAGTGGCAGCATTGCTGGCTGCCTGGTAGGCATGGGGTGAAGGCCCGCCTTGCAGAGACTTGTACCTCTCCTGTTGAAGGCATCTGCCTCTGCAGTGGCTCCTGAGGCCCTCAGCCCGCGCTTCCTGTGTGCCTGCATGTACCGCTGCTGGCGCTGCCGTGTAGCACTCTGGTCGGCTGAGTCCACTGGCACTTTGCACCTTCCAGGGCATCATCTTTGTGGGCACACCTTTACCTATATACAAGTGATGGCAAGTGTGGATCAGGTAATTGTATCCTTTATGATCTGGCCTAAGTAAAGCCCCTTCTGCAGGAGAGATCCAAACCAGGTAGGTAGTGACATCCAGCGTATGGGGCCTGACATTGTGGAGTGTGGTGACCTGCCCTGTGCATGTGGGCAGCTGCGTACTCAGGAGTGTGAGTGTGGTCCCTGTGTGACTCCAGAGGCTGGGAAGAGGCAGTGCAGCTAATCTAGAACCGCACCCCGCGGCAGCACGGAGTCTGTGCCCACACGGGATGGAGCGGTCAGCAGCTTGTCTTCAGCCTCACCTCTCCGGGCCCCTGTGGAAACTACTCAGATGTTTGTTTCGCCTTGTTGTTTACTTTTTGAACATGTTAGGTGGGAGTTTATCCTCAACTGCTGAGCAACATCTGCCACTTGTACATGGAAAAATGAGCTCACAGCTGTGTTCATGACCTGTTTTATAAATAAAGTGTCTTGGGCAAAGTACTCCTGCATTCTCGCTGCCCTCCTGACTGTGCCTGCCTGTCCTGGGACCTTCCTGAGCCCCTTGCTCACTGCACACTTGCCGTGGGCCAGGCTCCGGCCTTGTGCAGCAGCTCAGTTCTCCTAGCTTTGCTGCTGGCTTTTGTGAGCAGGTGATCGCTAATGCTTTTAGCCTCCTAAGTTGCTTTTTATTATTTAAAAACCTATACTTATTATTTCCTTCCTAAGCATTTTGTTGGCGGTGAAAGTTTACTTCATTTACTTCAGTCTTGCTTTCTAATTTACATTTAAAGCAAATTTCTGCCTTAGTGCTGGTTTGAAAATACTCTTGTTGCTTGGGATATAATGCTTTCACTGTCTCAGTGATTTTTGTTTACCTCTTCAACATACGAATTCTCTGAAAGTCTAATTTTCTATATACATAGAAGTTTGTCTTTTCAAAAACAGTTTATCGGGGCTGGGGATTTAGCTCTGTGGTTTCTGCTGCCTGCTGCACAAGCGCAAGGACCCAAGTTCGATCCCCAGTACCAAAAAAATAAATAAAACGGTTTATCTATTTCTCACATTTATTTATCTCCTTGTAGTCAGTGAAAAGGCTCTATTTTTCTGTTAAGCAGTTTTAAGTCTTGGTGTTTGTTTCAGGTGGGTTCTCTCTGTAGTCCTCAGGTGCTGGTGTTCCTAGACACACACCAGCACACCTGGCAAAAAAGTTCTAAGAGTTTGTCGAGGCTTACATTGTGACCTCTTATGTTGGCCATTAAATTTCTGTGAACATTGGGCAATAATGTGTATCTTCTAGAGAATTCTATGGTTTTGTTATGCTGAGATTGTTTATTTTGAGTCAGGACATAGCTGAATTACCCAGACTGGTCTCCAAGTCCTGTCCTCAAGCCATCCTGACTCAGCTTCCTGAATAGCTGGGCTCCAGGCATGTGCTCTGCTCCTGGTTTATTGGCCAAGATTATTGAGATTAAAACTTCTCTTATCCTTTCCTTTTTTCTGTCAAACCTATTTCTGAGAGACTGGTATGGAGATCTCCCACTAAAATTATATCTGTTGAATATCCTTAAGAGTCCTATCAGTATTTGCTTTATATATTTCAGGTAGAAATACTCACAAATCCCCTCCTCCTGATCTGCCATCCTCCTAGTATTCTTTTTATCACTTCAAAGTATTCCTCTTTCTTTTAACCCTTTATCTTAACTCTTGACACCCAGACCATGTAACTTTCTCTCTCTCTTTTTTTTTTTTGATACTGGGGATTGAACTCAGGACCTTGCTCTTGTGAGGCAGGCGGTGGAACCACTGAGTTAAATTCCCGACCCCAACTTTCTCTTTTTTAATAATTTTTCTATTAATAAATTTTATTTTACCCACCCCACCTTAAGCCCCCAACTTTCTTCCTCTTAATAAGTTCCTGGTATATTTTCTTATATATAATTAGAGCAGCTCTCTTTTTCCTCAAAGAAATAGATTTTACTGGAAGAGATTATCAGTTACAGATCTAAAAAGAATATTTACTTTGGAGTTCGAGCCCCAGTACCAAAAAACAAACAAATGAAAAGAATATTTACTTTGGTCAGATGTCATTTGAAGACGTTTTGATAGGTTGTAAAAATTCTTTGAAGCTCAGCTATTTCACATGCTTTGTTGAGAATAGATGCTCAGGCCGGGGATTAAACTCAGTGGTTCTGCCACCTGCCTCACAAGCATAAGGTCCTGAGTTCGATCCCTGGTACCAAAAAAAAAGGTCAGGAGAATAGTTGCTAATTGAGCTAGTATTAGGAGGACAGTTTAGAGTCTGGAGAGATCTGTCTGTTTCACTCTTGCATTCAACCCCAGCTTCCCATAAACAAATTCAGGGTGGGGGCCCCTCTGGACAAATCTAGAACTCCAGTGTAACCATGCTTCTGCCCTACTTCAAAATGGAGACAGACCCCTGGACTAGCTGCATTGCTGTGTGAAAATAGTTAAGAAAATCAAAGTATTTTCTTACATCTGAAAAATGATTATTTTCTTCTATCATGTAACTATTCTAAATGGTAAATTATATCTTGCCACATGTGGCAAACACTTTATGTTTTATATGTCAAGATTATAGAAAATGTGGCTCGTTGGAGGCATCACAATTCCTGATTTCAGGACACACTGCAGAGCCATACTCACCAAAACAGCATGGTACTGGCATAAAAACAGACATGTGAAGGGAAACAATTAGCAATCCCAGGAATAAACCTGTGCATCTATAACCAACTGAATCTTGACAGAGGCACCAAAAACACAGCCTTTTCAACAAGTGATGCTTGACAAATGGATGTCCATATGTAGAAGACTGAAAGTAGACTCCTGTCGCTCACCCTGTACAAAACTTAACTCAAAGTGGTGCAAAGACATAAATGAAAGACCTGAAACTACTAGGAAAAAAAATGGAGAAACACTTCAGGCCTCAGTATAGGCAGTGATTTACAGGAAACGAAAAGAAAATGTTGACAAAAGGGATTATGTTAGAAAATTTATGCACAGCAAAGAAAGTGAACAGTCAACAGAGTGAAGAAACAATCCACACAATGAGAAGGTAATTTGTTAGCTATTCACCTGAGAGACTCACTATCCAGAATATATGAAGAACTCAAAATATTTAACAAAACCTAGACATTTCTCAAAAGAAGTACAAATGGCTAATAAATATATGAAAAGGTGCTCAATATCATAAGCTATGAAAGAAATACAAATAAAAGCTACAGTAAGATACCATCCCCTGGGATAGCTATTACTAAAACCAAAAATAACAAATGCTGGCGAGATTACAGAGAAAAAGAAACTTTTTTCTATTCTGTGGATGGAACCCATGGTGCTCTACCACTGAGCTGTATCCCAAGCCCTTTTTTACTTTCTTTTTTCTGGGGGGGGGGGTGGTACTGGGGATCGAACTCAGAACCTTGCGCTTGTGAGGTGGCGGCACCACTAAGCTAAATCCTCAGCCCCTCCTTTTTTACTTTTTGAGACAGACTCTTAACTAAGATGACCAGTCTGGCCTTAAACTTGGCGATTCGTCTGCCTCACCCTCCCACGTATCTGGGATTGCAGGTGTGTGGTGAAAAGCTTGCTGGAGGGAAAAGCTTACACGCTGTTGGTGGGATTAAATAGTAGAGTGACTCTGGAAAACTATGGAGATTCCTCAAAAAACTAACAGATCTACCATATGACCGAGCTATACCACTTCTAGGTATGAGGCAAAGAAAATGAAACTGGCCTGTCAGAGACTCACATGCCCGTGTTCTTGTGGCACAACAGCTGTAACACAGGATCAGCCTAGGTGCCCATCAGCTAATGAATGGATGAAGAAAATGTATTTATACACAAAGGAATTTTATTTAGCCATAAAGAAGAATGAATTCACCCCATCTGTAGGAAAAAGGAGGAAACTAGAGGGCATTCCATTACTTGAAATGAGCTAGACTCAAGAAAAGTATTGCATGTTCTCTCATACTATGTGGAAGCTAAACAAAGTCGATCTAAAGGTAAAATAGTGATTTCTACAGATTGGGAGGGTGGACAAAGAAGTTGGATTTAATCAGTGCCTGCTGTAGGCATGTGTTGAAATATACTGAACAGCATTAATACGTACAGTGATTCTTCTTAAATTTCATCCTAAATCTTTTTAAATGTGGGGAGGGGATTAGAGTGTATATACAGGTATAATTTCTGAGAATGGATATGGTCAGAAATGGCAGATTGCTTTGGTGGAGTATTACTTAGAATGTGGATAAGCAGAATGTTAGAACCACTGCAAAGGATTCAGAATTACACCACTAGCAGTAGGGTATTCACATGGGTCCTGCCCTTGAATTACATATGAACACTGCAGTAGTAACAGAAGCACCCAATTAAAAGTTGGGTAAAAGGGTTAGACATTTCTCCAAAGATGTATATGAATGCCAATAAATACATGAAAAGAATCTCAAAATCACTGGTCATTACGCAGATAAATGCACATCAGAACCACAATGAGATGCCACCACACACCCATTAGAATGGCTGAAAATGAGTGTTGGGAAAGAAAGGCAGAAATTGGAACCCTTGTACCTTGTTGATGGGAATGTAAAATGGTGTAGCCACTGTTTAATTGCAATTTTTTTCTTATAGTTTCACAAGGTTAGTTTTTTGTTTTTTGTTTTTTGTTTTACCAGGGATTGAACTCAGGACCTTGTGCTTGCCAGGCAGGCACTATGCCACTGAGCTACATCCCCGGCCCATAGCCACTGTTTAAAACTGTATGACAGTTCTTCAAGAAGTTAATTATCATGTCATTCAGCTATACCACTTCTGAGTATAATCCCCAAAGAACTGAAGACAGATTCAGACTAATAACTTCTCTGTGAATATTTATAACAGCACTGTTCATAGTGGCCAAAACATGGGAATAACCCAGGGGCCCAGCAGGTGATATTTGAGTAAACAAGATGTTCTTTATATACTCAATTTATGTCCATTGCGAGTCACCATAGGAGTGAAATTCTGACACTGGTTACGACGTGGATGACCCTTGAGGACATACTGAGTGAAGCTAGTCACCAGAATACAAATACAGTACTATGTGCTGCTCTGTGTAGCCTCAGATTCAGAGATGGGAAGCAGAATGGGGGTGCCAGGGGATGGGGAGTCAGTGTTTAACGGGAACAGTTTCTGTTTGGAATCATGGAAAGTATTGGAGAAAGCTAATGGTGCTGAGTGTACAGTACCACGACTGCTCAACACCACAGACAAGTAACACGTGGTTGAAGTGGCAAACTTTGTTACATATATATTTTACCACAAACATACAATGTTAGTGTTACTTGCCTAGCATGCTATGCTTTTAAAAAAAAATTCCAAATGTACAAAAATGGAGAGACTTGGACAATGAATTCCTATGTCCCTAAAACTCATTTTCTGGATAATTTGCTTTACCCATCGACCTCATAACCCCTCCCTTGGTAAGTTTTGTTTTGTTTTGGTACCGGGGATCGAACTTGGGTCCTTGCACTTGTGGGGCAGGCGGCAGAACCACTGAGCTAAATCCCTGGCCCCCTTGGTAAGTTATTTTAAAGCAGTTCCTGACTCTCGTCTCAGGCATAGATACATCTCCAGGAAGCGAAGGGCTGTGTAAAACCACGACAGCAGCATCACTGTGGAATACACTTGTTCCCTGATACCCACAAATGTCTTTATGTCGGCTTATTTGAATTGGGATGGAAATACTGCATTTGGTGGTTGATGACTAAACATCTTTTAATCTGTAATTGTTCCCTATTTCTTTTTTCCTTGCCATTGACTTACTGAAGCAGAGTAATTTGTCTGATAGAATTTTCCACATTTGCATAGTCACGGTGGTGTTTACTGTCTTTTTGTCTCCTGTCTTTCCTGTAAACCAGTGCCCTAGACAGACTTGATAAGGTCTGGGTAGGAGGCACATAACATCTGCCCCTGAGGCTCTGTTTCGTGGGGCTGAGACTGACCATTCTAGACATTAGAATTGGGGTTTGTTGGTCCTGGGGATTGAACCCAGGGCCTGCACGCTGAGCTATAAGTCATACTTTATGTTGCAGCAGGGTCTTCCTAAGTCACTAGGCTGCCCAGGTTGGGCTCGGACTTGAAACCCTCCTGCCTCAGCCTTGAGAGTGCTGGGATCACAGGCGCGCACCACCACCCCCAGCTTAGAGTTGAGGCATTTTATTTTATTTTATTTTATTTTTATTTTGTTATTTTTGGTACCGAGGATCGAACTTGGGTCCTTGCACTTGTGCAACAGGCAGCAAAACCACTGAGCTAAATCCCCGGCCCAGGCTTTTTAAACAGAAGAAAGAGGGCCAGGGATTTAGCTCAGTGATTCTAACACCTGCCCAGCAAGCAGAAGGACCTGAGTTCGATCCCAAGTACAAAAAAAAAACCAAACAGAGGAAAGAGAGGCAGTGTGACATGAGCAGGGATTCAGAGCCAGCAGGGCACCGCAGGGAACAGCTTTTCCGTAGTCTTACCACGTACCTAGCTGTCTTAGTGTCAGCACCTTACCCCAGCCTGGCCACAGGACACTCTAATATGCGGCAGGGGAGGCAGATGCTGAAGAACAGGTACTGGGTAGCTGCCATCAACCTGTACATGTACAAATGGTTAAAGTGGTACATTTCTATGTTCCATGTGGTCAGACATTTTGAGACTTTGTTGGAAAAGCTAAATAAAAATACATATATAGTGTAACTCCTGGGGAAAATGTTTGAACTTCTGTTTTTATCACATGTATACCTTTATATGGTATGACATTTGTGACACCGTAAAACCAAGTATCTTTGGGGCTGGGGATTTAGCTCAGTGGTGCTGCCGCCTGCATCGCAAGCACAAGGACCTGAATTTGATTCCCAGGACCAAAAACCAAACCAAACCAAGTACTTGAAGTAATTATGTAGCTTTTCATTTCAATCTTTGTGCTCTTGAAGACAGCACTGTTCACATCTGTGCATCCAGCGCATTAATGACCCCTTCTTGGCTCTAGGAATTTGAGAGTGTGTTTTGCGGTAAAACTGGCAGAAGGCTAAAGCTGAGCAGACCGGACTCCTTGGTGACCTGCCCTGCACAGGGGAGTCTGCAGAACAACCCCGCAGTGGAGACCAAGTGACTGGACTGGACAGGGGTCCTGGGAGTGAAGGGCTGTCCCTGGCCCACAAGCACCCGCCCACAAGCGTTCTACGATCCTGGGACTCTGCTCTGACAGTGACCTGAACGAGCCATGGCTCAAATCGTGGGGACCCTAGTAGGGACTTTTGAGAGCACATTCTGCAGACGTATTTACCTAGAACAAAATACTCATTCATGTCCTCTTAGATCATTTGGGGATGAAGACATCTTGATGTTAGTAAATAATTTTCAATTATCTGTGATTCCATCATGTTTGCTTAACATGATAACTCTAAGAATTAACATCCTTTGTAATTTATTTATTCTTAGATGGTACATTACTTTTTATTTTATTTTCATTTTAAATATGCCCCTTTAGCAATTGGAAGAAGATAAATTGTTCTTAACTAGTAGTTTGAAAATTGTATTTCATTTGTTGTATCCCCCTTTGTAATATTTCCAGTCTCGTGGTACTTTGTGTTGCAAAATGCAGTACTATTTTAAAACTTTTCATTAAAAGTTTTCCAGAGACTTCCTTTAAAGCTACTTTTGTCCATATGTAAAATATTTTCTCAGTAGACTGCTTAAGTGCTCACATTTTCCTATTGCCAGTCATTACATGTAATAAAGTGCATGTTTGGAATGGAGTTCCGGTGTGTGGCGTTATTTTTATGCAGATGCGGTAGTGGACTCTGGTGTGGTACAGGCACCTTCAGTAAATATTGTCAGAGACCTACGTTTGTACACAGAACTAGGTCAGGCAGGCTAGACTTTCCACTGAAGACACTGCATCAAGTCACTAATCTTAAGACTTAATATATCATTTTATTGGGATTGTATCATAGTCTTTACACAAATGCTATGTAAACAAGTCTGAGTTTATCTCATGGGCTTGTACACAACTCCTTATATACACCCTGCATCCCTTCCAGATGCTGGGTGTAGTTGGATCCATAGGGCCTGTGTCTGAGGTATGCTATCACAGATGAATGGCCACTGTGAATGCTGCAGACAGGACCCGGGACAGTGGCATCGTTGGCTGCTCTCGGGCTTCTCTAGCCAGCGGCTGCCAAGAAGGAAGCTGAGGGCCTGGTCAGGATGGCCTCCTGGACTGACTGGCTGTGCTGTCCACCCCTGATGACCTAGCCGTTGACCTGGGCCGGCCTGTCAGCTTAAGTCCTCATTGTCATCACTTCCCGCTTCCTTCAGTTCTCTTCTATGCGCTGCGAGGACCAGATTTTTCCCCATTCCCTCCTAACACAGCTCCTTGGCAGGCGGAAGTGTCACAGATCCCTGGTGTCCCCTGAGCCCCGACAGCACCGGCAAGCCCAGGATCTCCAGGAAGCCCCGGCTCACCATGAGCACCATCCCGGCCGTCTCTGCTGATGCCGGGCACGCCTTGTGACCCTGCAGACCAGATGGGGCAGAGCCATGAGAACCCACCAGCCTCTCTCTGCTGGCTTATTTTCTGACCTCCAGACGAGGCCAGGAGGAAAGCCCAGGCCAGGACTCACAGGGCAAGGCCTGTGGTGGGCAGGGGAGGGCAGGTGGAGAGGTGGCGAGGCCCAGGCAGATCCCTGGGTGGAGGCCGGGTGGCCTGAGGATGGCACGCTGAGTGCGTGTAGAGGGCTTGGGGTGGACAGGAGGGGGAGTCACGCCTGGTGGGAGGCTGTGGGTAGTGGGTCCCAAGGTAACCAAAGGCAGAGTCATCCATCATGTGGGATGCAGACCAAGCCCCACTGGTGCCCAGAACAGATGGGAGGTTGCTGTCTGCCAGACATGGCAACTTGGAAGTGACGCTTCAGGCCACACAGGTACAGTGCGGCGAGGCCGGCCTGGCAAAGCAGGAGCTGGGCACACAGCGTTGGGGACCAGAGAGGAGTGCAGGAGCCAGGAGTGTGCTGCGCGCATGCGTGAACACCAGGAGGACAAGGCTCAGGACTGCCAGAGGAAGGCCCTACCGAGTCATGTGAGTCACGAGAGGTTGGAATGTGGTGGGGCGTGCTGACTCCTCCTCCACAGGATGTCTGGGGTTTTTGTTTTTGTTTTGCTTTTCAGTTTTCCATGGTGCTGGGATTGAACCCTGTGCCTCACACATGCTAGGCAAGTGCTGTACCACAGAGCTACATCCTCAGCCCTTTTGAAAAACTATTTTGAGATAGGTTTGCTAAGCTGTGCAGGCTGCCTTCAAACTCGCAGTCCTCCTGCTTCAGCCTCCCGAGAAACAGGGCTTGTGCCATTTAACAGTTAAAAAATCGAACATATGAAGTACACTTGGGTCAAAGGAGAGAAAATGGCTTTAGAATTTAACTGGGATTTAGATGCAGAATGGCTTTAGTTAAGTAAGTAGTGCTTAACCAAATCTCCTTAGCTAACACAGATACAGGGAGATCTATTCATTAAACTTTTACGTATGAAGGTATTTAAGGCAGTTTGTAATCTTGTCTCTAAGCATGTTTTGCCAAGAGAAGAGCATTTCTCCTCAGAAAGTGAGACATGTCTGTAACCCAAGCACTCCCCACATTCCCTGGGGTGACAGTGTCCTACCTTGGAGTCCCTGGTCTCCGGCGGGGCCGTTCAGCCCTGCGCCCACTGCACCCTTGTCTCCTCTGTCGCCCTGACCTCCTGCAGTGAGGGTGGACACAACACATTGTCAGAACAGCCGCTGCAGCCACAGTGCCAGGTTAAGCAGGGTCCCACCCTGCTCACGCTTTTCAAAGAAGCAGAACCGCTTAGAACCTTGCAGGTGTCATAGGTATGGCTCAACGAGGGACACAATGAACCCACTCTGCCTCCAGTGGCACCAGCCATCGCCACCCTCCCTGACCTCTGCAGCCACTGTGGGTGGCATTTGGTTTGTTCAAAATATTTATGCCTGCTAAGCCATTGGGTATTGATGTGGCATTCATTTTTACATGATTTTTGACCCCTGCATCACCTAAGGGTATTTTAAAATGTCCCTCTGACAGCGTGGAATCTCATCTCTATTTTGGCCTGCCTGAGTCGCGGTGGTGGAGAGATGTTAAACTCTCCCATTAGTGGCAGCAGGTTTCTCACCACTGGCTTTGTAGGTTCTGCAGCCAGGATACTAGAGGCATACGTCATCCTGGGAGCATATTCCTGACAAACTTAACCTTGTGTGTGTGTGTGAGGGGGGTTCTAGATACTGAGATACATCCCCAGCTCTTTTTATTTTGAGACAGACTTAAGTTGTTCGGACTGGCCTGGAACTTGTAATCCTCCCACCTCAGCCTCCTGAGTAGCTGAGCCAAACTGTAGTTCAGGCCAAACTGAACTTTTGATGAGTACAGAAGCACACTGTAAGGCCAAAGGCATTATTCGCACTATTCTGCTTTGCCCGTGCTAACAGTGGCACCACCTTTAACTGGGTGTGGTTTCTCAGCATGCCTACAGTGCTGCTGTCTTTTGATACTGATCAGAGTTGTGGGCCCCTAATTAGTACAAGACCCTAAGGCCATCGATGCTTCTCCTCTGGGAGGCGCCCAGGGCCCTGGAGGTGGGAATTGTCCCCCCGCTGGGCAGTGGGCTTTCAGGGTCAGTGGTCCCCCAGGAAGTTGGCCTGTTGGCCCTGGTGCAGTGGGCCTGACCTGCTTGTCCTGGGCTGTGGGGTGGGGCTGCTCCCTCTCAGGGCTGTGTCTGCCTGTGTCTGAGTCCCATAAAGGCCCAGTCATGTAGGAATCTTCAAAGTATGTGGGATGCCTGGAGCCGCATGCAGAAGCAGGGGCCAGGACAGAAGTGGGCTTGTGCTGTGGCCCAGAGCACTCGGGTCTGTGCGTCATGGTGATCACGACTTAAAGAAGCATCCAAGGGATTGGTCGGGGATTTAGCTCAGTGGTTTCACGGCCTGCTGCACAAGCGCAAGGACCCGAGTTCAATCCCCAGTACCAAAAAAAAAAAGAAGCATCCAAGGGAATGTGGAGCAGCGTGATGGTTTGGACAGAGACTGCACGTGGGCAAGAGGAACGTGACCTGCCCGCCCGCCAATGCTGAATTGCCTCCCTCTCCTAAAAGCAAGTGAAACAATGCTGCTCATTGCACAGAATCTCTTCACCTGCTAAAGCATCTAATCTCAGAAGGAAGGAAGACTCACAAAACTGTTTCCCTTAAAACTTTTTTAGGGCTAGGGATTTAGCTCAGTGGTTCCGCCGTCTGCTTTGCAAGCGCAAGGTCCTGAGTTCAATCCTCGGCCCCAAAAAACTTTTTTAAGCTCTTTGAGAAGCAGGAAGTTGTTGGTCGCTCGAAGTTAATTGGAGTCGTGGTGTCAAACCTTTCACCTGAGCCACAAGGCTGCCGGACGGAGGTTCTGGCTTCCCTTGGGTCAGAGGCCAGCCTTCCACACGAGCACCTGACAGCACTCACTTGTGTCTGACCTGCACCTCCCTCCAAACTTGTCTTTGATTCTTATCCTCAAAATACAATTTCAAATTGATTTTGCCTTTTGCAACAGACATTTTTATGTACTACCAATTTTGGGGAAGACATGTGCGATTACAGGGACTCCCATTATTCCTCACACTTTTACCAACCCCTTCCCACCAAATGTTCTGTTGAGAAAAATAACACATTAAAAAAAAAAGTTCTGGGCTGGGGATTTAGCTCAGTGGCACTGTGACTGCCTCACAAGCGCAAGGTCCTGAGTTCGATCTCTGGTACCAAAAAAAAAAAATCGTTCCCTCAGGATTAGTAAGGAATTAACTTGGGCCCTGAAAGCACAAAGCCCCAGCCTTCTAGGAGTTACCTGGAGGGTCCCCATCATGCCCTGGAGCAGAGGCAGTGGTAACTGGGGGTGGGAGGGTGACCAATACGGATGTTGTGTCGGGCCCAGGCCAGTCAAGGCCAGAAAACAGTGAGCTCATGTCCAGGTGACCTTGGGCCCCGATGTGCCCGCTTCTCCCTCCTGTACCTCTGAAGGAAGGCAGCACAGCTGCTTCGGGCTGTGGGATGTCTGGGTTTTGCTGTGCAGCTAGTGTGGTTCTGCCCACGCACAATGAGTGGTGTTGGGCTGACTACTCACCTCTGGGGCCAGGGTCTCCCAGCTCCCCCGTGGGACCGCGGTATCCGGGAGGCCCTCGAATACCAGGGTGGCCGATGGAGCCTGGAGGGCCAGGAGGCCCTGGAGGACCAGCTGGACCAGGCCGACCGATGGAGCCCGGTGCTAAAGGCTTCCTCAGGTGTGCAGCTAACTGTGCAATTTGCTCTTGGAAAACAGAGTGCGAGCATTTATGTCACAGGATTATGAAGATATTTTAATGCAAGGCTCAGGTCTATACTGCCTTTCGGAAGGAAGTTTCCATTTATCGCATGAAAGTGGTTTTTACTATGTTGGGATATCGCAGGGCTAGAGTGGAGACCCACCCTCCCCTGTCTTGAAATGTTTCTAATTCTGGGAATTGGAGGGCCACAGACATCCACTTGGGGGGGCTCAGGGATCTGTCCCTCCAAGCCCTAAGGTGCAGTGCCTTGTGCCTTGTAACTGCCAGGCATGCAGAGGGCAGAAGCTGTTCACTGTGGCACAGGCATGGACCACACACACCAGCAGGTGGGCAGGCAGGGGCGTAGCAAGGAGCACAGCTGGTGTGCAGCCCAGGCACTGAGAGCCCCGGCAGGGACGGGCAGCAGCCACTCACCGCTGATCACGCCCCCACACAGCTCCCTGATGCGCTGCTCACTGGCTTCTTTCCCCTGAAATTCACCCAGCAATCCGTCAGCAGACAGGGCAGTGTGCTGGCAGCCTCGCTGAGACATGCCCAGTACTCCGCTGCTAACGTCACTACTTAGAGAAAACAGTCTAATCCAAGACAAGCCCAATGCCCAGGCACTGAGTGGCAGAGGAAGGACCACGCACCGGAACTCCAGGATTCCCGGTGATCCCAGGGATGCCCTGCACACCCTGGAGGCCCACGGGCCCAGGTGGGCCAGGGGCGCCCTGGACGCCACTGGTGCCATTGGGTCCCTGGATGCCTTTGGGGCCTAGCTCCCCTCGACTTCCAGACTGCAAAGAAAGAGAACAAACCGGGTCCGAGGAGCCTCACTCGGCAGGCCAGGACCCTACAGCGCTTGCTTTTGTGACCACAGACCTGCGCGCCAGCCATGGGGCTGGATGGGAAGCCCCTGAGAGCATCTGCCCGACACTTACCTCTCCTTTGGGTCCAGCTGAACCACTGGGGCCCTGTGCGGAGGGAAGGTGTATGCTTGGTTATCCACGAGCTGTCCCTGGTCGGATGGGAAGTGGCTCCCAACAAACTGACCCAACCAACTATTAGTTGAGGATGAAAATTTAAAAATCATCTTCAAGCCACATCACAATTTTGACAGGGTGACTTTTTTTTTGTTCTCCTATGGACACTTGATATTGCTGAGCATATTAACCACTCATGCCTTTTGAAACCTCTCCCCTGAAGAGTGACTTTGTAACTCCAGCGTAGTTTCTCTTACACTTGTTTACTTTGTTTCCATTATTTTTATAAATAATGCTGAGCTGAATGCCTGTGTCTCAAACTCTGGGCCCTGTTCAGCTGAGTCGCGGAATGACCAGTCCCAGACATGTGAATGGGACCCAGTTCTAACCAGACAGCCGAGTGTGTGCCACCGGGAGCAAGGACAGGGCTCGCACAGGGGGCTGCCTGGCCCTGGCCACCCCTCGTCCACGGGCCAACTGCCACAGCCCGGGCCAGCGAGGGCAGGTGGAAGCCCTCACCCGGTCCCCACCAGTGTGGCTGAAAGCATGCAAGAGGCTTCCCCGCTGGCAGGGCCCTTGTTCTCGGCCACTGCCCGCCGCCCCAGCAGTGGAACGGAGGCCAGGAAGCTTCTCGGATTTCCAGGGTCCCAGCTGCCAAGACAGTGTCAGAATTTGCCAAAGTAAATTAAGCACAGGCCACTGAGGAGCCTAAGTTCATTCTGGGCCACGGTGCCCCAGAGACCAGGATCCCTTTCTGTGTTACCCAGAAACAAAGCAAAGACTTAATTACAGACTTAAAGCCCCAGCCAATGCAAAGCCAGAAAGGTCTTTTTTCCCCTCAGATTTTAGCATTATTCCATTTCCATAACCCCCAGAAGGAGAGATGGGAGTCTGGGACCTGATACACCCAAGCATTTTATTTAACCCTGCCCATCTCTGCTCTGAAGGTATAGTTTGTTCCAGTTAAACCTCGTCTGCGACTGCTTCATCCAAGGACCTCAAATGAGTGACTTCCACACTCAGAGCCCCCACACTCGAGCCACCAGACCTGCAGCTGCTTTCTGGCCAGGTCCCCGTCCCTCCCGAAGTGACGGCCTGAGGCCAGGCCTCGACCTGAAGGACCCGGAGCCTGTGCACAGCTGCCCATAGAGAGCTGCCTGTGCTTCCACCAGGGGCTGCATCTGCTGGCCGTGTCCCCCCGCCAGTTCCCCGCCGAGACCAGCCGCAGCTCCCAGCTGTTAGGTCACTAGGCCGCACTTACCAGCTCTCCTTTGTCCCCAGGAAGGCCATCGGAACCCGCAATGCCCTGGGGACAGCACACCCAAAGGTTAATAGTGGCTCCTTCCTGTCAAGCTACTGAAGCTACCAGCGCTCAGACCTGAGGCCGAGGCTGGAGTCCAGGCCTGGCACCCGCTTTGACCAGGCTCCCGGGACAGCAGGGACCCTGCCTCTGAGAGCTCGGGGCCAGCAGGGACCCCAAGGCTGAAGTCACCTGGAGGGAGGCCTGGGTGCCAGGGGGCTCAGAAGGGCTCTGCAGGGATGGCTACAGCCTCCCCCGCTCCCGCCCAAGCTGCTCCAGGGAGAGAAGTGCAGCAGAGAAACAGCTTTCTAAGCTGTCCCTGTAGAGAGGGGGTTAGAGCCCAGCCCTCACACACCGTCTCCCTGACCAGGCCCGGCTGTGTGCCCCAAGAGAAGCAGCTTCCATCATTCCACCTCTGCTGTTACTGTGCTAAGTGGAACAGGAGGAGGAGGAGGAAGGGAAACGAGAAACACAGCAGCCGCTCAGAGTTGTGAGCACAGACCCAGAGCCCGACGGCCCAGCAGGCAGAGCCCGGCCCAGCCGGAAAGCTCCGGGAGGCGCCTCGGACAGGTCCCGGGTCCGACCACCATTGCCCGCTCACCTGGTCTCCCTTCGGGCCTGCAGTGCCTCCTGGGCCCTGCGCAGGGAAAAGGCTCTGGGTTAGAGAAGCTCAGGAGTGCAGGAGGTGGCGGGGTGAAGCCCTCGCACCGTCACAGCCTGGCCCGGCCTGGCCCGGGGGCGCACCCCATGTTCACAGCCGACAGGTCCCGCTGGCCACCGGTCTGTGCCCTGTGCACCCCGTGAGTGTCGGGAGCTTTCCCCACAGAACACCCTGCCCCTGCCCAGGTCCATGGCGCCAGTCCCGGAGGGCCGGTGAGGCCCTTTGAGCTGGGTGCTGCCCTGTGGGTACTGCGGCCTCGCCATGCTAGGGCAGCTTTGTGCCAGTCTCATCTTGGTGGCTTCCCTCAGACCTGGGAAATCAGGAGCAAGTCTGGGAGTTGTAGGACCCCCAACACAGCCAGCTGGTTGAGCGCTTAGTGGTACAGCGCTTGCCCTGCGTACATGAGGCCCAGGAGGATCCCCAGCACTGCCAACACACCAACGGACAACCCCACGTCCCCTGGAGCAGGTGAGGACCTGCCCCAGAGGCCAGGGGCAACTTCCCCGGGAGTGGCAGCTCCAGAGTTCCACCCACTCCCGACAGCCCCGTCCCACTCTCCCCGCTGAGGATTCTCCACGTCTCCAGGCCCTGGGGCTGGCGTGTCTTCCCGCCTCTGGAATGTCCTGCCTGGAGCCTGACAAAGGGCCCACTGTCCCTCTGTGGAGTGGTGGTTTCCACCTCTCCCTCTTGCAGCGATGTCGAGTACCCTCCCCGGGCAGCACACCCTTGTCAAGATGGCTTCATCTCTGCCAAGCAGGGCCAGCCGAGGCAGGGATCTGGTGAGGGGCCCAGGGCCCAAACAGACCCCTAGCCTTCTCCAGGCAACCCAAGGGGTCCCTGAGCAGGCCACACCCCCTGTGCCCTGGCCTTCACCAGAGCTACAAGACCAGGACAGGGCCTGCAGGCTCACTGGCACCCAGACTCCCTCAGCAGTGCCCCTCTGCCGAATCAGACCTCGTCCGATACACAGGGCTGGAGCTGCCACCTCTCCTCTGGCCCAGCTCCTGGGCCCTGGTGGCGTGCTGTTTGCCCTGCCAGGCCTCTACAGCCAAGAGGGACGAACACTGGAGGAACCGAGGGGCGCTGCGTTCAGAGCTGGCTCCTCTGCCCTCACCCAGGTGGGCAGCAGCAGGCTTGGCTGGGAGCCGCTGGCTGGCAGGGTGTCTGCTCCCTGCCTGTGCCCACGGAACCAGGGTAGGGGTGGGATGAGGTACGTGAGCAGGGCACTGCCTGCCAGAATGGCCACTCACCCGGTCGCCCACTTCACCACGGAGGCCCTGCGGACCCGGGAGGCCAAGGTCTCCTATGCTGCCCTTTCGGCCCTGTGGACAAGGTCCGAGCTGTCAGTGCCCACAGAGCCCAGCAAGACCCCTGCCACTCCTCCAGGACTCACTGCCCTGGCCCAAACCTGACCCACTGAACCTACCTGGAAGCCTCGGACTCCGGGGGCCCCGGGAGGACCTTGTGGGCCGAGGGCCCCCTGAAAGACACAGGTGTGAGTGGATGTCCTGGGCCTGAGGAGTCATCTGTGGTATGGGCAGGGAGCCCAGTGGGCCCGGCTCTGTCTCCCTGTCATCCCAGGCCATTTGGCCAAGGTGCTGGGGACAGAGGCAGGGCTGCTCCCGGGGAGACAGTTAAGGGGCTCTGAGAGAGCGGGCTCTGGACCCTATTTGTCAGGCCAGACTTAGAACCACCCCGTGGCTGGTGCCAGACAGGATTCTCCGTGCTTGTTGGGGTCTCAGCTGCACTGCGGCGTGAAGCTCCCAAGGACAGGGCAGCTCAGACAGCCCGGCAGCCTCCCTGAGGGCAAGGGGCCAAGGAGGCAACACTGCCCTCCCAGAATTCCCAGCTTTTGAGCGCTAGGCCCATGCGTGCATCCAAAGTGCCACCTCAGCCTGCTCAGAGCCCACCCACACTTACCATGGAGCCCCTGTGGCCAGCCTCGCCGTGCCCCCCGGGCATGCCGATGTCTCCCTGCCAGCGGGAAGAAGGACGTGAGGGGAGGGCCCCCGTGCACATCCCAGGGAAGGCCGGGGAAACTTACGGGCATGCCAGGCTCTCCAGAGGGGCCAGCCTCGCCCAGCTCCCCGGCTGTGCCCTAGAAGAGGGGAGGCCCTGAGTGCTGCATCCTCTGTCCAGGCCCAGGGCACTGCCTGCCTGCCCTCCCCCGGAGAAAGCAGTCACATACCAGTTCTCCCTTCTCGCCTTTGGACCCTGCTCGTCCAGGGAGGCCCTGCCAGGACAGAGCTCGGGTCAGGGCTGCTGAGTCCCTGGCAGTGCACACACAGGCAGCCGAGGCTAGAGAGACCACCCCCCAAGGTGGGGGCAGCCACTCCAGCCTGCTGGCCCCAGGGTGGGGCTCAGACGGCTTCCTGGGGTTCAGATGCAGAGCCCCTGCGAGTGCCCAGGCAGGCCTGATGGGAAGGCGGCCCCACGACACACGGGGTGAGCTCAGGCACATTTGCACGACAGGCACACCAGTGTGTGAGCATAACAGGCCCCAGTGGGCAGTTCCTGGACCCCCCATAGGAGCTGGCCAGCTGTGTTCCTGGCAGCGAACTCACCGGCAGCCCATTGGGGCCCTTCTCTCCCAGGGCACCATGGCGACCGGCCTCTCCCTGTGAGGAGTGAGTGGTAGGGGGCAGAATGGGCGCCGAGGCCTCAGGAGCTGAGCTCCCCCCAGCCCCTTCCCACAGGCAGCCTGCTGAGCACCAACCTTCTCGCCATCGAGTCCTGGCATGCCGTCCCGGCCATCCGTGCCTGGCACACCCTGGGGATGAGGAACAGCGAGGCCTGCTGCCCTGCCCTTCCTCTGCAGCGCTGCTCCCCTTGGAGCTGCCCCTTTCTCATTCCCCAGAACTGGGTCCCCCACTCTAGCTCCGCAGGGTTCTGTGGCTTCCCTGCTGAGGGGTCGTGTGGAGCCTGTGTCACCCCCAGAGACCACTGTGCAGGGCGGGGTGCAGGCAGGCATCACTGGCTGGCCAGGGAGCCCAGGGCATAGCCTGATCTGAGCCCCGCGGTCGTCCTGCTGGGCGACAGTGGCTGCAGTGCTGGACGTTGGAAAGGGGGGGCTGTCCCAGCTTTGCTTCACGCGTTAAGAAGGGGGGAGCTGAGTGTGAGCATGCACGGGCCCACCGGACAGAGCCCCTCAGACTGCGGGTCACACACCTGGGGAGCCAGCCCAGGAGGCAAGGTGGGCAGCTGAGAAGGGGAACTCGGGCAGCCCTCCTGCCCCGTGTGGCCAGCATGTGTGTGTCCCAGTGAGCGCGCCAGGCAGGCAGGTACTCACCAGCTCCCCACCTGGCCCGGCCACGCCAGGGATTCCTTTGGGACCAGGTCTACCCTAAAGACACACAAGGGACAGAAACAGCCACAGCTGGAGGCCTGAGAGATCTCAACCCGAGCTGCCTCACCACTTCCTGCGGCTGTGCTCTGGGTGGGGCAGCTGCTGTGCCCAGCCCAGCTCCGGGGCAGTGAGGCCGGGTGCTGCTGGAGCAGCAGCTGGCACGGTGGCTTGCTGGTGCTCCCGCTCTGGGCCTCACAGGTGGAGGAGATGGGGTGGGTCTGGCGGCTGCTGCAGCAAATACCAGCTTGGGGACAGTCCCTTCATTTCTAGGGGTGCTCAACTGTTGGGCTCTGTCTCCCCACCTCCCCAGTCCCCACTGCACAGCAGGCAGCCAGGGCTGGGGGAAACACACTCGGCCCGGGGCCAGGACAGGGCTGCAAGGCCAGGATCTGAACCCTGGGGCAGAGGACGGGCTGCCACCAGACAGATGCCCCAGGGTCTGCCGAATGCCCCACCCACCCTAGGGGAGTAAGATCCAGTTCTCCCCAGAAGGACCCAGAGAACCAATGTCTCTTACTTACAAGGTCACCCTTGGGGCCTCGGAAGCCCTCAGGGCCCCTCCCACCTCTGTCACCCTGGAAATGACAAAGAGGTACAGGGACAGAGTCAGCAACATGGAAAACGGAACAAGCTGGACCAAGGAGACTGGGCCCTCCCAGGCCTGGCGGTCGGAGCGGTGGGTTTGCTGCTGCTGCGGGTCACAGGGCCGCGGGGTGACCACACCAGGCCTCTACCCAGAGCGCCAAGCAGGCAGAGCCACGGCGAGGACAGACTCCCGTGAGCCTGCCCCTCAGGCATGCACAGGTGCCCCCAACTGTGCCAGGTCCCCACATGTGCCCACAGCATAGCCCAGCTCGGGGCAGGCAGGCCAGTGGGCTGTGACACGGCAAAGGGAGGGGACAGGGCCTGGCCTGCATGGGGCTGCCCTCACCCAGACACGCACATACCACTTTCCCGGGAGACCCTGGGGCGCCAGGCGGCCCTCGGAACCCAATGGGACCCTGCAGGAGAGAGAGGGCGTTTGGGGTCCTCTTGCAGTAAGGGGCCCAGAGGGAGGCCGTGGCAGGACCAGAGCACATGGGCACTGGCTGCTGAGCCTCAGGCCTGATGGATCCCAGTGGGCTCTGGAGCACGGGTCCCCACGTCCCACGGGCTGACCTCAGCTGGCCCCCATGCTGCCACGAGGGCAGCAGGACTTACCCGGTCCCCAGGGGGCCCCAGTGGCCCTGGCAGCCCTCTTAATCCTCGGGGACCCTGTGGGGAGGAAGCTGGAGATGCAGAGGCTGGCTGCACCCCAACCTGGGCAGCTGCTGGGCCCCCAGGGACCCTGGTGCCTCTCCCCCAAGCTCATCCCCTCAGCTCTGGGCTGGGTTCGGCCAGGGGCCTGCTTAGGTTCTGGCTGCCTGGTCAGTGTCCTGGGGTGACCACCTGTGGGGTCCCCTCCTCCCACCGCAGTCCCACCCTGGCCTCACCTGCAGCCCCACGGCGCCTGGAACACCAGCAGGACCGGGTGGGCCGGGGTCACCCTGCCACAGAGAAAGGAGTGGTCAGCAGTTCAGCCTGGCTCTTCCAACCTCCCTCTGCCTGCTGTCTCCCAGAGCAAGCCTGAGCAGCACTGCCTCTCCTCCTGGGCAGGTGAGCATCCCACGCTACACACGCGTTGGTCCCCCCTAGCCACTCTGCCCGCCAAAGAGCATCCTGGCTTTCATCCCCAGCAGTGAGGATGGACAGTGGCCTCCATGGATAGTGACCAGAGCAAGGGGACAGGCAGTCAGGGACCCCGACCTTCACAGATACACCAGGGAGCTGCACATGAGGTGACCCGACCAACCAGCCCTGACCGGCCAGGCCCCATCAGGAAGCATGTACAGCAGGGGCCACCAGGGCCCATGAGGCGTGCTGCCTGCCCCTGCTGAGTCCCGGGGTCCATCACCCACTGCCCTCCTGTTCAGCAGCCCACCCCCAGGCATGGCCAGAGGTGCTTTACCTTCTCGCCGTCCTTGCCAACTTCTCCCTGTTCTCCTTTGTGGCCGGTGGGCCCCTGCAAGGAAACAGGCATGGCCCTGCAGACCTCAGTGCCCTCCCTGGCTGCATTGCACGGAGGCCCGAGGCCCAATTAGCTCAGGACCCAGCCCCAGCAGCACTGCAGTGTTCAGGACCAAAGGCCAGGACCCAGATTGGGAAACAGGCCCAAGAGACCCTGCGACCCAGCTGAGGGCCCTCAGCCAACAGGGCGGCCAGGACCAGCAGGGGGCCCATGGTGCCAGCTCCCCCAAGGCTGCTCCGTGCCTCCTGTGGCTCTCACAGCCGAGGCCCGGCCAGGCCACATCAGCTTCCAGCGCATCGCTGGGGCGGTGAGGGCTAGGGGACAGGCCACTTTCCCCCTGTGACAACCCTGGGTCTCCGTCCCCCAAGTCCTAAAGCCATAGGGGACCCAGCTGCAGGAGGCCCGCATCACCCCACAGCCACCACTCACCTTAAACCCTGGCATTCCTGGAGGCCCGGGGGGGCCTGGAGGGCAGACGGCAGGGCACTGTTGGGAAACAGAGCAGTCAGAGCCTCCTAGCCCTGTGGAGGTCAACACAGAGGCGCCCTGAGCAGGGCCACCGCACGTGGGCGAAGGAGGCTGTGGCTGAGCCCAGACAGGGCCCCAGGGGCTGGGGGAGCCAAGCTGGGCTGGATGCCCCTCCCTCACGGCCGATCCGATTTCTGAGCAAACCCTGGGTTTCAAAGCAGCTATTCACGGAAGCGGTCGGCTGCTGGCTGCACAAAGGGGCCTTCATCTTGGGACAAGCACCTGGTCACTCTGAGGAGGAAGCTGCTGCGAGCCCAGGGCACAGCAAAGAGGCTCGGGTCTGGAGGCCCACCCTGGGAGCAGGCCAGGACTTGGAGTGCAGGCGGCCCCTCCATATTCCTCACTGCCTGGGCAGGATGGCCTAGGCCTCTGCACTCCCCGGCCTGGCTTCAGGGGCCAGCGTCCACTGCCTCCCTCCAAGGACACAGCCAGCGGAGCTCTGGCAGTGAGAAGAGCCAGACCAGGACTGCTGGGTCCCTCAAAGGGGGTCAGTGCTGTCCCTCCAAAGCACAGCACTCCATGGACGCTGTGCTGCCTTGCCTGAGGCTGAACAGCTGCACAGAGGAGAAACAGGTCTGTTTTCCTTACAGGACTGATGAGGCTCAAAGGCCGAGATAAAGAATCTGTGATGAGGGACAGACCTGTCTGCACCATACACTGCAGTGGCTGCTCTGCTGTCTGCCTGAGGTGACTGTCGTAATCTAAGTTTGTGTCGCCCATGTGGCTCCTTGTTCAGGTCCACGTGGTAGCCGGGCAGGTGGAAAGGGGGGGAAGCCTGGTCATGCCCCAAGCTGCCTGCACTGCGCCCCAGTCCCCAGGGAACTCCTTCCTGGCCCCACCTTCCTGCCGGTGGGAATTCCACATTGGAGGCTCCCGGGCGGGCAGTAGCCTCAGGCAGACCCTGCCCCAAGGCAGCCACCCCCTGCCCCCTCACAGATGTGTGCAAGTGCCCACCTGTAGGTCAGCAGCACCTTCAGGGAGGACCCCAGGCTGTCCCTGGAACAGAGAAGGACAGTGATGTCCACTTGCTTCCCACCCTCTCTGACCATGGCCTCCCCCGCCCACCAGGAAGCCAGGATCCTCCAGGGCCCAGAGCTGGGTGCCGCTGGCCCCTCAACAGGGCCCACGACAAGGACAAAAACATCTGTCCTGGAGGAGGGATGACCATGAGTTCTAGCCTAGACTCTGCCTTTGAGCCCTGCCTATTCCCAGGGAAGGGCCCCTCGTCTTCTGGGGAGATGGGCATCCAGCCCAGCGCTCTGGCCCGTGCAGGCACTCCAGAGCTCCCAGCCGTACTCACAGGAGGTCCCGGAGGTCCTGGGGGCCCAGGCAGGCCTGGAAGTCCAGAGGGTCCCTGGGGAAAAGGAAAATACTCAGAGCAGTGCCAGCCCCACGGGGTGAGGGGCCCGCTTGGGCCAGTTCCATCCCGCTCCTGGACAAGGCCATGCTGGCATCGGTGTGCCTGGGCTTCTGCTAATGCCCACCAACAAAGGGGGAGGAGGGGGCGAGATGGTGGCAGGGGAGCGTGCTCCACGTTCGGGTCCGGGTCGGCCACTCACCGGAGGACCTCGGAGGCCCATCCCACCGGGGAGGCCGCTCACACCTGCCTCTCCCTGTGGGATGAAAAGAGTGAGAGGTGAGGAGCCGCGCCCAAGGAGCCCTACAGACCCTGAGGAGGTGGCCCCATGGCCAGTTTGACCCCCTGAAGGGCGGCGCTCCAGGCGTTCTGGTCAGGTTGGCCCCAAGAAGCCCCATCCCTGCCATGGTTTGGGACACCCCAGCTCTGAGCATGGAGGCAGATCTGGGAGCTCGCGGGCTTGGGGGCGCGCACAGGGCGGTCTGTACTCACGGGGGGTCCAGGGAGGCCTTTGCCCTGCAAAACCAAGCACATGGTCAGGGTATAGGGTGGGGTTGGGCCTGCCACCCCCAAGACAGTTCAGGTGGGTCCTGGGAAGGGCAGAGGGACAGGTGGCTGGTCCCTGGGGACCCCCTTCCAGAGGGCACAGCCCAGATAGGGGCCCAGGTGCCCAGTGCAGGGCCCAGCCCCCAGGAGAGGCTGTAGGGGGACATCTGGGCTCTGGGTCACCCTGCTGTGGCCAAACCTGTTGGCTCCTCAAACTCCCAGGGAGAGGTGAGGACGGTACTCACCCCCAGCCCAGGCGGCCCCGGGGGTCCCAGGCTTCCCTGAGGAGGAAGGCAGGTGTCAAGGGTGCTCTGGGCCAGCAGCCTCACCTGTCTCCACGCTCCCCCCAGTCTGATCCCACAAGTCCTCCGAGGAGGGAGCAGGGGCAGGAGCCCCATTTACAGCTGACCAGGGATGAGGCTGAGGCAGGACCTGCCGCTGGCCACCTAGTGGGGAGCAGACTGGCCACAAGGAGGGCCCAACATCAGGACCAGCCTGGGCCACGCAGAAGTGACTCTGATGCCCATCCTGTCCTGGAAACCCCAGTACCAATGCGCCTCAGCCACGGGCAGCCAGGCCTCCACGCTCTGGGCCTGCCTTGCCCCTCTCTGAAGAGTAAGTAGAGTGCGAGTCCTCCGAAGGCAGGAGGGGAGAGAGCCAGCTAGTTCGTCCGGGTAGCAGTCAGTGTACGACAGTCCAACTAGACTCGGGGACTTGCAGGCAGGCAGCTGCTTACCTCAGGGGTGAGGAGGGGTTACCAGCCTACCACACCAGCTCTCCCTGCCAGGGTCTGGACACCAGACCAGATGTGGATGTGGCAGAAGGGAAGGCAGACACAGGGGCTGGCCACGTGGCACCCTGTGCCCACCACAGGGCAGAGGCCAGCCAGTGCAGTCAGGGCCACCCACAGCCTGAACTTTGGCTCCACTGCCCGTGCACACAGGACACCCACCTGCCACCCCTGCCAGGGGACCTCACCTGTTCACCGTGATCGCTGGACATGGGGGCGGGGCTGGTACCTACCCGTTCTCCAGGGGCACCTTTGGGTCCAGCAGGTCCGTCCCGCCCAGTCAGACCCTGGGGAGGGAAGCAGGAGGGAAGCACATGCCCAAGGACAAAAGTGGGCCTGCGACTCTTCCTTAAGTCAAATGAGTCCAAAGAGGCAGAGGACCCTGGGGCCTGCCCCGTCCTCTGTCCACCTGGGGCCCTCAGAGGCCCAGGGGACAGCCGCTGCGAAGACAGCAACAGGGCCTCATGGGGATGAAACCAGCAGGACCAGGGGCTCACGTCTCAGACACCCACAGAGACCACCCAGGCCAGCGGTGGGGTGGGAAGGCACAGGGCCAGACCAGCAGGGGGCAGAGGAACCTGACAAGGGGCGCTTGTTCTGGGATCCGCAAAAGCTGGCAGGACTTGGACTCTGGCGGTCTGGTTCTGTCCCCTGCCAGGTATCAGTAGGGACTGGGACTAAGGCCAGGGAGCCCTGCTGGGGACTTCTGTCAGGACTGGGTTTCCTGCCTGAGCAGGCCCAGCTGGAGAGAAGCAATTAGAGCCCATGGCGGGGCTGGGCTGGGCTGTGCCAGTTAGGGCAGGAGGGGCTGGCACACTCACGTCCACACCTGGAAGTCCTGGCAGTCCTGCCTCTCCGGGCTTCCCTCGTTTCCCCGGGGTCCCCTTCGATCCCTATGGGGGAGGAAAGTGCTGAGTGTGAGGGATGGGTCCTTGGCCTTCGGCAAGGAGAAAAAGCACTTCCAGCGCAGGACTCTGCCAGCCACCGGAAGGGTCCCTTTCTTGGAGTGGTGCCCAGTCCTCCCGCCCCTCCCACCCCTCCCGCCCCTTGGTCGGAGCTGCAGGATGTTCCCCTGGGGAGCTCAGCCCCCAGGCCCAGCAGGTCTCAGAGTGGGACTGCAGTGGGCTAGGACTAGACAAGTTGAGGCAGCTGGCAGCTCCAGCCTGGGCGGCCTGCAGGGCTGTACTGTCCCTTCCATAGCCGGCCTGGCAGTGGCCCCAAAAAAGCTCCCAGCCAGACCCTACCCAGAGACACACTGAACCCACACACGCCCCTCCCACCCCTACCTGGTTCCAACCCTGCTGGAACCCTCAGAGGCCTCTTCTGGGGCGACACAGGCTCAGCCTGGTGTGACAGGACATCAATGACCTTCTGTTCCCTGTCCCCACCCCCTCCAGACTGGAAATGGCTGTCCCCTCCCCCAGGATACTCACCGGGGGCCCAGGCAGACCTGGAGGACCAGCTTCTCCCTGCAGAGGGGCAGATGTTCAGATGTGAACCCAGAAACCCCACCTCAGGGGAGCAGAGTAGGGCTGGCCTCCAATTCTGTCCTGGAGGCCTGGTCCATGGAGGCAAAATAGGGCTCCCTAGCCCCTCGTCCATGACCAGGGACTCTGCCCTCTACAGGCCAGCACCAGGGAAAGGGGGGCTAGAGAGCCGGGGCTCAGCCTTTGCAGGGCCGAGGCAGCATCTGACAGCCCTTTGAGAACACAGGGGTGCCCCCGCATGCCACAGCCCCCACCCGCAGTGCTGAGACTGAGAGCTGGACTGAGTGCCTTAGGAAGCAGGCTTCAGAGGACTGGGGGCTCCGCCCCCTGCCCCCCCCCCCCCGGCTTGGGAGGAGGGCGCCAGGGCCACTCTCCACGAAGGGGTCCAGCAGCCTCAGTTCCCGGACACCCTGCAGCATGGTTAAGCCCTTTAACTGGATTTCCAGCCATGGGTTAAAGTGGGAGCCCTGAGCCCCAGCTGCTCAGCCCCAGCCGAGAGAGGCAGAGTGAGGGGTTGGCCCTGGGCCCCCGAGGACCAGGCCGGAAGTGGGTAAAGAGGGTTCATGGCTCCCGAAGCCAAGCTAGGGAGCTGGGCAGGGCCGTGGGGGAACCGCGGGCATGGATTGGCCTGGAGGGGGTGCCTGCCCTTTCTGGAGTGATCACCAGCGAGCCTCACGCCCCACCACCCCTCCGGGGGAGGCACAGGCAGCTCCCCCCAAGTGGGCCCCACCTGCCTGGGACACCTACGGAAGGCGCCACTGTGGGCAGAGTGGCCCCAGCCCCAGAAAGCCCTCAACAAGTCAGAGTGCATCCACCCGAGGATGCGACCCACTCGCCCGCAGAGCCCGGGTCCACCCCAGGGGCACGGGACCCTCGCTTCTGGTCCAAGGAGCACCGCCGTCCACCCTGGCAGGCTCTGCCCAAGCAGGACCAAGGGTCTCTCCCTTCACGGGCCACTGCGGCGCCCCGGGGTGCAGGGAGGTTCCCGTGGGTCCAGAGCCCCAGAACCGTGCCCGACTCACGTCAATGCCGTCCGTGCCCGGCTTCCCGGGTGGCCCCGGGGCCCCCGGGGGCCCAGGGAGCCCCACTTTCTGAAATGGAGAAGGGTCATTAGAAAGGCGCCCGCCTGCTCCTCGGCGGTCCCCCGCCGCCCTCTGACGGGCCTCAGCCGCACAGCGCGGCGCCCGCGGCAGCGACCCTCGCCCTGGCTCTCCCCCGGCCGCGAACAAAGCCGCACTGTGCGTCCGGCTGCCCCGTGAGGACCGGGCTGCAGCCAGGTCGTCCGGCCGGAGCGGTCAGAGCCTGCTCACCTGTGCGGTGGCGGCTGCCAGGAGCCGTCCCAGCAGGAGCAGGGCCAGGGTGGGCGCGCGGGCCATGGCGGGCGGCTCTGAGCGGCGCGGGCGGCCGGGCGGCCGGGCACAGGGGGTGGGCGGGCACAGCGCACAGCCCGGGCGCCCCGCCCCGCCCCGCCCCGCCCGCCGAGCGCACAAGCCCCGCATTCTGCCGGCCACCTGGGGGTGGCACCGGTGTTTTCTGGCCCGCCTGCGAGTTAAAATTATCCTGGGACCGGCGCGTTACACACACACCTTTCAGAGCGCAAGAAAGACTTCTTTCTGCCTTGCTTCTCAGCCGCAGCCTGGCGGGCCGCGCCCTCCGTGAAGGGCGCCCTTGTGCGGGGCGTGCGGCGGCTGGGCGGCTGCTGCGCTGCGCCCCCCTCGTCTCGCGCCGCCGCCGGGCCCCCACTCCCTCGCGGCAGCACCCAGTCCCCCTTTCCGGGAGACTCGGCAGCCTCCTGTCCCACCCGCGGGGCTGCCCCGTGTGCGGGGCGGAGCGGGGCAGAACAGCGCAGCCGGCGCGGGGTTTGCCACGCGGAGGTTACGCTGACCGGAGCCCACAGCAAGGTCACCTTTGCCACCACTGATGAATCGGGACCTCTTGGCACGCCTGTGACAGCGCGTGCGGTATTTGTGTTTGGTCCCGACGAGAAACCTGTCCCTCCTCTGTCCAGCTGGCACTGGGGGATACTTCCATGAGTCTGAGCGGTTCCCTCTCCAGCCGACAGCTGGGGGAAGGTGGCCACCCAGTGCCTGGGAGGGTGGAGAAAGGTGACGATCCTTCCCAGACACTTCCCTAAAGAGGTCTTCAACCAGAGGGCTCCCTCCAGGCAAGAAATACTGGCCCACGACCCTGAGGCTGCAGCTACCCACCAGCTGCGCATCATGTTTTCCTGCAGCTGCTCTGTGGACGTCCCGCTGTGGCAAAGCCAAGGTCGTGAGGTGGCCGAGCTACTTACTGGCCCCTCAATGGAAGCAGCACTAACATTTTCTTGGGGTTCTGAACTCTGCCTTCATCAGCATTCCGTCCTGTTCATACATCTCGGCGCTCTGTGCTGCGCCTGCTCTCCTTGACATTTATTCCTCGAGACTCGAAACCTGCTGGGTCTCTGCAGGGTTTGTGATGAACAAGGTGGTGGTGGTGGTGGTTGAGGAAACTTGCCTTGCTCCCCCACAGAATGGCTGTCAATTAATCAAATCCCCTCTTTGGAGGAGCCTGAAATTCACCTTCCTCTGTAAACGTCTACATGTGTAACCCAGGGGCTCAGAGTAGCTTGGATATTCTCTAACATTCAGTGTTTGATCATAGCTGCAGGGAGAACTTTTCAAATCTGTACCTTTCCAGTAAATAACTAAAGTTTGGGGGGTGTGGGGGTTATATTTTGCTATGAAAAAGAGGAAAGGGCTGCAGAAGAGGCTTCCTCTCCTGCCCAGAGATGCTCCTGAAGGTGTGAGCACCTGAAGGTGCCAGGTCCTTTCACCAGGTACAGCGGACCCTCAAGTTAAGGGCCTGACACACACACAACTTGGGTTAATTAGGTTAACGAAAGATTCATCTGCCTCATGTTATTTATGGCATGTACTCAGGTAAACATCTAAATCTCAGCTGTATTGACTTACAACCAACCTGAGTTACAACCAGCCCTCGGCGTCCAGGCACTGCCCAAGGACCAAGTCACTGATGGGGTTCACCACGTTGACAGGGTGTGGGCTGCCTCCGGGAACCCTCAGCAAAATGCTGCCCCAAGCTTACCGCCCTTAGGTTGGGCTTCAACTCTGAAGGCAGAACTGACTTTGGAGATTCGAATCAACCAGGAGGGAGTGGACAGAAAGGGAGGAGCTTCGAAGCAGCCTCTGCCCAGGAGCAGTAACTGGAAAGAGCCTCCTCCTCCTCCTCCTCTGCCATGGAGGAAGGCCTCAGCTCTCACAGCCCTGGGGTCCTGCAGGCTATATCAGAGGGGCGGGACAGTGTGTAGCCCTGCCCTCCATCAAGTCCTCTGCTCGGACCGAAGAGGCAGGGATGAGGGCTCAGAGCAGCCCTCTAATCCCAGGCCCTGGCAACAAGATCCTGTTTGGAAAAAGCAAGGGTGTGGCCACCCTGCACCTGCTCCTGGCCCAGGCCCACAGGCAGCCACACCAGTAGCCCTATGCAGCTAACCAGGGCACGGCATGGTGTGACTCAGGAAGCACAGGAGCCTTCACCGCTGGCGAGGGGAGTGGTCTGGCACCTGGGCCCCACGTGACCCCCCCCCAGCCTTCCCTTTGTCACAGGGCCACTCCCACCTCCACACAGACCCCTAGCTGGGCTGGTTGAGGGCAGGGAGGGTGCCAGCCTCACCCACCCATCAGAGCCAAGCCTCTCTGGCTCCCACCTTGAGCTGGCAGAACAAAGCAGTGTCTTCCAGTTCAGGGACACTGCTCTCCTTAAAGCTCAGAGCAGGTGGGCCAGGCCCTGCCTCTCAGAGCAGGAGTGGGATTCCCTATCCAACTCAAGCCCCTGAGCATCAGGGATCAGAGGGACCCCACCAAAGTGACACTCTACATCACTCTCAGTGCCTCAGTTTCCCCTCTACAGTGAAAATCCCATCACTGGGCCAAACCAGAGTTGAAGTGCTGGGGTCCCACAGGTTCTGGTGGGGGAGCTGAGCCAGCTGCAAATGCCTGGTGCTCCAGAAGAGGGCAGTGATGGGCTTGTGAACACAGAGCCCAGAGCCAGCGCCCTGCAATGGACCCCAGGTCTGTGCCCCGTGTCCAGTGCTTGCTCAAGGCAGTCGGTCATCTGTGGTCCCTCGAGGGCTGCAAGCCAGCGGTGCCCTCACAGGTCCAACAGCTCCTCGCCCTCCACTGCAAGTGCTGGGGACAAGGGGGCGTCCTGGGAGGGGCTGCCCTGGCCTGGGAAGACAGCCCCGGGTGTGGAGGGCGGGGGGCGCAAGGAGGCGGAGTGCAACTCGCTGCTCTTCGAGCTCGCACGCAGGGCAGGTGGGAAGGCTGCTCTAGATCTGCAGCACCGAACACTGCTCCCCTGCCACCCCAGGACCCTGCAGTCCCCAGACTCTGGAGCAGTTGACAAAAGGCAGCCAGGGGCCAACTGTGCGGCCCTCAGGCTGCAGACCTTGTGGACTGGACACGTGCACGTGGGGTGGGGGTGGGGGGTGCGGTGCAAAGCAATGTGGCACCAGGCCACCCTGGAACATGGGGGGAAGAAAGCCGAGAATGTGATGCAACCGGCCCCACAGAGCCCCAAACAGAGCCTCAGTCCATGCCCACAGGCCTCAAAGTCAAGCGAGTTTATTCAGAAAAGGCCTCACTTGGCACCAGACTAAGAAAATGAACCCCTCCCGCTGAGGCCTCCCTCCACATATTTACAAACGTGGGGGCTCAGAGGGAGAGCCGGGTGGGGATGCAATGAGGTAAGGAGGGTTCTGAAGGCCTTGGCCTTCCCTGAGGGCAGGGCCTCAGTCCTTCTGGCGGCCACTGTAGTGACCACCAGGGAGAGGCCAGCACTGCTGGGTACCATGAAGAGCCAGCAACGGGGCCCCAGATCCCCCCACACTGGGGCCAGGCAGGGCCAGGATGCCGCTGGCTCCTGCCCCTTAAGGCTTTCCAGGTTCGACAGAAGGCTCCATCCTGGCCACCTCTGTCTCACCTCGTGAGGTCCCTGCCGCGGCAGGCCCAGGCCGGTCTGACGGCCTCCTGGGAGCACCGTGCTCCGGGCCCGCCTGGTTTTCCAGGTCGCCCTCGCCCCCATCCCACTTCTGGACCTCAGGGTGCTCCGCCGGGGCAGGACCTGGCATCTGGGCGCCACCACGGGTCACCACTTCCTTGCCCCCCGCATCCTCCTCCACCCTCCTCCGCTTCCTCACTTCATCAGCCGCGCTGGCTTCTGGGGGCTCGGGACAGGGCTGCCCGACCTCCCCTGGGTCACGGCTGCCCTGGCTGAGGGCACAGCCCTCCAGGTTCAGGGCTATCTTCTCCACCTCGGACACACCCTGGGGGCCCGGCTCCCCTGGGGCCTGCTCCCGCCTGTTGGCCTCCAACTTCCTCTTCTTGCTCTCTTTGGGGCTTGGGGGGTCGGCCTGATCCTGCTGGTACCCCTCCTGGTTTCCCGTGTCCTGGAGCTTTTCACCCAGCGGCTGGGGACCCTCAGCCGACGCGCTGTCCCCGTCCTGGTCCTTCTCTGGCCCGCAGGTCTGAGCCTGGGTGCTGGCTTCCAGGGGGGCGTCCTCCAGGGCCTTGTCTCGCTCCACCTGTCTGGGGCTGGCCAGTGCCTGGACTGTGACTTGGGGCTTGAACTTCAGCAGCTTGTCTCGGGGCCCCCACACAAACTTGCAGCGGGGCTGGAAGTGCAGCCAGGCAAAGTGCACGAGTTCACGGCGCCGGCGCCGGCAGCGCACAGCGAAGAGGAAGTAGTCCAGGGCACTCTGGCGCACGCCCGGCAGCTCATGCCGCACCAGTGTCTCCTCGAGGAAGAAGCGAGCCAGCGGGGCCTGGTAGTGCTCCAGGCCCAGCTCACCCAGCGACTTGAGGATGCGGGTGATGCGAAGGTTATTGTGGCTGCGCCTGCGGGAGGGCGTTCGGGTGGGATTCAGCCACAGCTCACCAGGGCCCAGAGCCTCCCCGGGATCTGGGATGCAGGATGACTCACGGGGACCCAAAAGGGCAGTGCGCCCTGGAGCTGTGAGGGGGGCACGTTGGCGGGGAGCTGCCCCCAGGCCAGAGGACGCCAGCTGGGCCGGGCCAGGGGGCCTGAGGCGGCAGTGTGCACTGTCCCTGCTTCCCACGGACAGAGGAGCTCACAACCCAGACCAGCTGGGCACCGTGCCATGCCACCCGGCAGGCGCTTGCAACCCGTGTGCCCCTCTCACATCTGCCTGAAACCAGCACCTTGCTGAGGCACTGGGGGCTGCACAGGAGAGCCGGTCCTCACCAGTTCAGGTTCTGGAAGCGCTTGTAGTAGTTCTGTGCCCGGCACACGGCGCCTGTGTCCCGGTCCTCCAGCTGGATGCCGTAGAAGCCAAGCATGAGCTCGTAGGCCCGGATAAGCCGCTCCCGGACCTCCTTGGAGCTTTTGAACGCCTGGAAAATACCCCCTAGCAGAGCTCAGGCAGCCGTCCCTGGACCATTCTCCCTGGGGAGGGTCAGGGTGGCCTCAGACACTGGGCCAGCCGCTGCCTCCCTGAGGGCCTGACTCATCCTCTTAGGGTAAACAGCAAGGAACACATTAACAAGTCTTGCTTTCCCTTGAGCTGCTGCAGTACCAGAGTCGAAATCCCCAAGCCATGGCATGGCTGTCTTTTCTGCGAACCTCCTCTACCTGCCACAAGGCATCGCTCACTGTCCAAGCCTCTTTGTCCCTTGTTCCCACCACTGGGTCTCTCGGGGCCTCCCCCAGCTCCCCATAGGTGGTAGCCGGCCTCAGGGAGATTGCCAGATGCTGACAGGGACACTGGGGCAGGGTGAGGGCCACTTTGGAGGGAAGAGCATCACATCTCAGGCTCCCGTGTGGCCCCATCCTGGCAGCCCGAGGTTGGTGTCGGAGGGGACCCAGGAAGGCCCGCTTCCCCAGGCCTCCCCGGCCCATCTGGGGACTCACCTCAACCTCCTTGAGTGTGAGCGGCTTGGCATGCCAGTTCACTCCCGGCTCCCGCAGAGGAAACAGCCTGTGCAGACATGGATGGTGCAGGCCCTTTAGGGGCAGGTGGCCCAGTGCAGCTCCCCGCCTTCTCTAGGGCAGAGGGGCAGGGTGCGAGTGGGCAGCCAGCATGTGCCACAGGCTGTGTGGCCGAGTCACTTGGTCACCGAGTTGGTCTGCCGGCCACCTGCTCTGGGTGCTCTGCCTTTCATCCTCTTCTCTCAGGTCACGGACACACAGTCCCATGATGCGCCCCATGACAGAGGCTCCCTATGTGCTGGCGTGGTGCCTCACTCAAGCCCAGGTCAGGCACAATGCTGCCCTGGGTGTCCCCAGGGGCTCTGAGGACTGGCTCTGACGCCACGGGCACTGACAGGCAGGCCTGCCCCATCCGCCCCAAGAGCTCAAACGCAGGCCTCCCTGTTGCCCCAACTGCATGGCTGCCACGATGACAGGCTGACAGGCTCTGGGACAGGCCTGAGTCTTTCCTTGAAGCCACTGGACCCTGTGGTGCCCAGTGATGCCCACCCACAGGTGTCTACCATCATCTGTGGTGTGGATCCGGCTCCTGGAAGGGACACCAGCGAGTAGCAGGAGGCAGCGGTGCCAGGCCCTGCCCTCCCTGATGCCTTGCCCCACACTGCCCACTCACCACTGGATGTAGGAGTGATTGTCCTCCAGGAGCTCATAGTTGTCCTTCCAGTTTTGAAGAATGTCCTCCACGAAACAGCCTACAAGCCAACAGGGATGATGGATGAAGGCCACCATGACAGGGCCTGGGGAACAGCATGGCCAAAAGTCCCCTCACCCCCAACTTCACCCTGTGAGTTTTTTAGGCCTCAGCAGGGTTATCCATGCTTCATTTGCTGCACCAATTTTGGGTGCCCAGGCCCTTGGCAGCCCCTCTGCAATTTGAAAACCGCACCCTCGCTGCTGACTGGGCAAACCTGGGTGGGGCTGGGTGGTGGCCCCAGACTCAGACTCACTTCTGCAGAAGGGAGACCTCATGGCCTAACCCAGTGTGGAACTCTGCAAACAATGCCCAGTAAACCCAACTCAGGAACACAGCTGGCCTGGGTCTGTGATGGGCCCAACACATTCTAGGCTGTGTGGGCCACACAGTCCCCGCTGCAGCCAATCTGTGTTTCGTGTTATCATGAGAAGATGAATAGGCGTGGGCAGGTGGCAGTCAGACCTTCCTGGCACTGAAATTTTAATTTCATGTAATTTTTATATCACAAAATACAAATACAGCATACTATCACCACTCCTGTTCAATATAGTTCTGCAAAGAGCCACAGCAATTAGAAAAGAGAAAGAAATAAAAGGAATGAAGATAGGAAAGGAAGAAGTTAAACTGTCATTATTTGCTTACGATATGGTACTTTACATAGAAGACCCAAAAAACTCCACCAAACGACTTCTAGACTTAATTGACAGATTCAGTAGAGCAGCTGGATATAAGGTCAACACTCAAAAAACAATAGCCTTCTTATACACAAATAGCAGACTTACTGAGAGAAATTTGGGAAACAATCCCTTTTACAATAGCATCCCCCAAAAAAGAAATATCTAGGAATTAACCTCACAAAGGAAGCAAAAGACTTCTACACTGAAAACTACAGCACTCTGAAAAAGGAGATCGAGGAGGATATAAGAAAATGGAAGGACATCCCTTGTTCCTGGGTAGGAAGAACCAATATAGTGAAAATGGCCATACTTCCAAAACTGCTATATA